ATCGCTGGGCGGCCTGCTCTTGTGGTCACGGCCACAGCCCTTTCTGAACCGGCCACGGTGCTCCCAGCGCGGGCTCTGCGGGCACTTCCTCTGACCTGAACTAGTCACTGGCTACCTGTGAGGAGTGGAGAGTGGGGCGCAGGAATTCTCTGTACTTTTCTCATCTTTCTCTAAGTCTGAAATTACCTCCAAAGCAGCATTTTAAACATTTCTTCACATTTTTTAAATGTAAAAACGATTCCCCTGCCCTAGACCGTTTTAAACACTGCAGCGACCGCTCGCAGCTTGAGGGCTGAGTCTGGGGCGGCGAGGACAGACCACCGCCCTGGGCCCAGGCTTGGGCTCGAGGGCCGCTTCCCCCGGCGCCGCCCACCTGACGTGCTCGATGGCCAGCGCGGTCTGGTCCAACGCCCCGGAGCCGTCGAACACCACCCACAGCTCCTGCAGGGGCAGCCGCTGTCCCTTCAGCTCCAGGAGCTCCCGCACGCACTCCGCGGTGAAGGTGCCCACGTGGGACTCGCACAGGCAGGGGTCTGTCAGCCGCACCACGGCCTTCAGGGCTGTGAAGTCCACGTCCGTGACCTCAAAGTTAAACAAGGGGCTCAGCACACGGGAATCACGTGGAGAGGCACGCTCACACTGCCCGCGGCTGATGGTTTTAACATCAAACGGGAGCGGAGCGCCTCCTGCCCTCAGAGGATGAACAAGACGGGCCTGGCTCTGAGCACATGGAGCTTACACTGTAATGGAGGAAACAAACCGGCAAGACGGTGGCAAGTACGTGGCAGAGAATAACTAGCAGGGGTGGGAGTCACTTGGGAGCCGCAATGGAAAGGGTGAAGAGCAGGGAGGTGCCAAGGGCCTGTGGCAGAGACCAGCTTGGCAGCTGCTGGTGCAGAAAGGCCGTTTCCTGCTGACAGCAGAGGAAGGAAATGGCGGCAGTGGGGGAGCAGCAGGAGGCGAGGCAAGAGAGGGGCAAGGAGACAGGAGGGAAGCGTGGGGGAAGGGGCCTGCGTCTGAGGGGCTCTCCAGCGGGAGGAGCTGGAAGGCCAGACCAGGCCTTTGGTAAAGGCATCGGAGGTTTTAAGCCGAAGAGCACAGTCCTCTTTTAAAGCAATGACTGATGGGGGCGTGACTGATGGGGGCGTGACGCCAGGGTGGGTATCACAGCCTAATTGACAGACCTGAGCTGCAGCCCAGGATGTTAGCATAACCCAGAGTGAAACGCTCCCCTCCGCCCCCGCCCCCTGCAGCCTGGGCCGTCCCTGTCCACAGGAGCCACACCATGTCCTGTATTTACACTCCCCGGTGTCACCTCTGAGTTTAACAGCGTTTTGTGGTCCAGTTAACAAACACTGAGCTAACGTCACAGCTGTCATTAGAGTGCAAATGCCGTGGAAACGGCCCAGTCGGTGGAGAAGCGAGATTGCTTTTCCTCTGCAACGGGACCCCTTTTCACGAGATGAGCCGCCTATCCACAGATTTGCCAGGCAGAACACCAGGCTGGTTTCTAAAGCGCCTATTTGGCTCGAGCTACTTCATGGGCTGCCACTGAAGTAAAAAATAATTACCTGAAACCCCGCTGGCTTCACGATGAGGCCGCGTCCTATCTGAGGGTCTCAAATCCCTCTCCACTTGCTGGGTGCCTCCTCCAGGTCCCCCTGCCTGAGGACCCTGGGGGGTCGGCCACCCCGACTCCCGGGCAGCTCCCCGTCAGGCGTCTCTAAATGTGCGAACTTCCCACACTCTGATGATTAATGTGAAAGACACGCTAGCTTCAATCAGCTCATAAACTTTAATTACAAGCCAGGCTTTGGCAACAACAGCTGGAAGGGAAGCGCTTTTAGCGAGAGAGGAAGGGGAGCCTTCACAAGGGCATGAAATTTACCTCCACCAGCACCTCGAACACGTTGGTGTGCCAGACCGCCCGCCACCCAGACGGTTCCAGCACCTTCTCCAGGAACTCGGCCGTGAACTCTCTCACCTCGGAGGCCTTGCAGTCAGCTGCACAGAGAGGAAACAAGGCGGGCACTGAGGCTGCGCCCGGCGGGGGGTGGGCAAGGCCACGCATGCAGGCAAGCCTGCACCAGACCCAGGGGGTCCGGGGCCCACTGGGCCGCTGGCTGTGGGCGGGCCCGAGACAGACAGCGCCTGGGACGGAGAGGCTGAGCGCGGGCGGCTCACCGAGGATGTAGTCCTGGTAGGCGCTGAACCGCTCGTAGAACAGGAGGTGGCCGGTCTGGAACATTTCCGGGAAGTGGGTCTTCCCCTGCGGCACGAAGCAGGGCAGCCGGGACCCCGGGCTGTCCTCCCGGCTGCAGTCGCTGCTCACGTCTCCGTCTTGGGACGAACCTGAAGAAGCCACCCAATCAGCGGCCCAGCGACCCGGCCCTCAGGGCTCACAGGCTGCCTCCCCGTCTCGCCCTGGCTCAGCTCCCGCAGCCCAGACATGCTGTTCGCCCCGTCGCTGAAGAAGCCAATTCACTAGAGGGAAACACGCCTCAAACCCATGTTCTCCTTCAGACGGCCAGACCCTGAGCGCCCCCAACCCCCCACCCCATCCCCACTCCCACCCCCCTGCCAGGCCTGTTTCAGAGCTTCCCCAGGAGGCGCCTGCCACTGAATTAAGTGGAGGTCACCGAGGTCTCCTTTAATAAAAGGCTAATCTGCAAATCGACCGAATGGCAGAATGACTGGTCAGACCACCGGGGGCAGACGCTCAGTGCAGGAGCCGCCCCCAGAAGCCAGGCTCATGCTGGTGAGCGCAGCAGCAATGGTGGGAGCCTCTCCTGCCTCCTCGGTAGCGCTAAGGATGTCTGACTGCCAGCTTAGGCCCGCTCCCCTAAGCCGGCAGTCGGACATCCCCCTGAGGGCTCAGGCCCAGCTGAGGGACCACCCCCCAAGTGCACGAATTTTGTGCACCGGGCCTCTAATATTTATATATTTATTTCAGAGAGGCTGGCCCAAGGCAGACAGACCTTCCAGGAAAGCAGTCATGTGCCCGGGTCATGGCCGCACACTGGGGCCTGCCTGTCACCCGGGAGGTAACTCTCCCCAGAACCCCGTTTCCGTCCACAGCAGAGCTGTTTCACAGATGAAGAGTTCTGGGTGGACAGGGTGGCGGCCGTGCAGCTGTGAGAGCACGTACCCCCGAGACCCGAACACCCAGGTGGAGGTGGCAGGTGTCACTATGCTTTCACACCCGCCACTCCGACCGCCCCTGGGAGGGAGGGACCCTGCAGCCGCCCAGATGGGGAAGCGAAGCCGGGGGATGTGAGCCCGTGGGCAGGCGGGTGGGCGGTGGCGGCGTTAGGCCCACCTTCCCTCTCCCTGGCGGGGCTCTCTCCATCACAGTCCACTAAAGGCCAGCGCGAGCGGAGCCAGCTTCCGGTGGGACCTCCCTGGGGGGTGGGGGAGGGCCAGCGGGGCCTGGGTGCTGGGCGCCACCTGCCCGCGGTGCTGTGAGCCGTGGCCGAGGGGGAGGGAGGGCCGAGCAGAGACCTGGGTGCTGGGCGCCACCTGCCCGCGGAGCTGTGAGCCGTGGCCGAGGGGGAGGGAGGGCTGAGCAGAGACCTGGGTGCTGGGTGCCACCTGCCCGCGGAGCTGTGAGCCGTGGCCGAGGGGGAGGGAGGGCCGAGCAGAGACCTGGGTGCTGGGTGCCACCTGCCCGCGGAGCTGTGAGCCGTGGCCGAGGGGGAGGGAGGGCTGAGCAGAGACCTGGGTGCTGGGTGCTGGGTGCCACCTGCCCGCGGAGCTGTGAGCCGTGGCCGGGGCCCGCTCCGCGTCGGGCAGGGCAGCGGCCACGGGCTGCCGGACACGCGGGGCGGCTGACACGCTGGACGCGCGCGGGGCCCGGGGCCTCGCAGCCTCGCAGGGCGGCCCCTCGCCCGGCCCGCCGTCCGGAGGCGCCTCGGGGGCCGCGGGGGCACTCACCTTCCTCCAGGGGCGCCGGCGTCTCCTCGGCCGCCCCGCCCGCGCTCCTCGGCCCCGGCTCCGGCGGCTCCGGCGGCTCCGGCCCCAGCCCCACACCCGCCAGCAGCTCGTCAGCCATTTCAAATGCCCGCGGCACCGCCCGGCCCGACGACGTGAGGACGCAGCGCTGCTGATTGGACAGCGGGCCGCGGCGCTCGGGCCAATCACAGGGAAGCCTGCGCGCCCGCCCGCCCCCGGCCCGCAGAGGCCCGCCCCTCCGGGCGCCTCCAGGCCCCGGGGCAGCGCCCGGGCGCCCCCTACTGGCCGGGCGGACCGCTGTTCCCGGCCGGGCTCCGGGTGCTTACTGGGCGAACTTGAGGAAGTTGCAGTGTCATCATTTGGGATGATTTCCAGATGCTCAGAGCCGCGCATGGCAATGGGTGAAGCAGAAGGGGCACCGGTGGGCAGGAAACACCGAGGCTGGCCTTTGTGCCGCGCCCGGTGGCTTCCCCTGCTCACCTTCCGCTGGCAGCGCCCTGGCCCCTGCACCACAATCACCCTCCGCCTGCGCCTTCACCACCTACACACTCACACGTTTGGAAATCATGTCAAATTAAATTTACTAACGTGTGTTTTGCCCACATTTACTCATCAAAGCCAAGTATAATCCCCAAGGGTAGCGAGCGTGCTCTCCCTGCATCCTCATTCAAGATTCAAAAACCGTGCTGAGGCCAGGAATACAGATGAGGAAAGAGTCACCAAGAAGATAGGTGAAAAAATAAAAATATAAAAAGGTAAGTAGCACCCGATTTAACCCAGCACAGCGAGCATCAGAAACCAGCCCAACTATTGCTTCTCGGCCTTTTGGCTAAGATCAAGTGCAGAAACCAGCCCAACTCCAGCAGCCGCCTCAGGGCCTATGCCGGCCATGACAGGCCAGTGACAGCAGAGGCCACCAGGACGCCAGGTGTGATGGGGCAGGAGCCTGGTGGTGACAGCGAGGCTGAGCAGCCTGCACAGGAAAAGCGCCTCCATCCACAGGCATCTGCCAGTTCCTTTATGAGTCAGTATGAAAGGAAGAGTCCAGATTGTTAATAGCAACTTTATTCTCACTGGTGAAAAAAAATTGTGATAATGGTCTGATGCATTTCCCCCTAAATTGACATTGAAGGTTATACATGAATCATATAGATCACAAATTTTCTATTTTATACTATTTAGAACAAAATTATTTTGATAAATATGTCAAGGGGACGACGACATAGGTTCTTAATGATGGCTGAGTCCAAATATGCAAAATATAGCTTCTGGTTTTGACCATGGTGCTTTAGAGCCTCCAACATGCATTAATATATTCTATTTCAGGGGAAATATTACACAGGGCCTCATCTTGCACTGAGGGAGGAGCCCCAGCTGAACTTCACAGACAGTATTCCTTTCGCCTAAATTAACCTCACACTGGACTAGCGAACAGAGACAGACACGGGTTAGTGCTCCCAGTCACGAGGAAATGACACAACCAACATGGAACAGGACAGGAAGAGAGGAAGGAGAGCTTCATTAGTAGCCGCGAGAAGTGGTTTTTAAATACTTTTGTTTTTTTACAAATCACGATAATTTTAAATAGCAGATCAATCATGCCACTTTGGGTGATCAGTCGGCCTGAACACTTATGAAGTGAGTAACTTTATTAAGGTCTTGAAGGTGAGTGTCCGGAGGTGCCGGGTCACACACACCACGGGTGAGAGACGGGAGGCCTACTCAGCATTTCTGAAGGCACGATCTACGGGAGGGAGGCCTACGGACTACGCCTCTGCACGGGGAGGGGCCGCCCTCACAGGACGAGGCCTTCGTAAATGGGCCCCTCGGGCTCCGGGGCCTCCCGCCTGCGGCGCAGGTGCTCCAGCGTGTTGTGGAAGTGCTTGTCAATCTGCTCCGTCTCTTCACTGGACTCGAGATTGGGGAGGTCTTCTCGGATCTTCTGGATAAGCTGGTTCAGAACCTGAATTGTGACCTAAAAACAATGTGCACAAGCTCACGATCCGGCACGCACCGCCGAGGGCCAAGGTGACTTAATAAAAACAGTTTGAGGAGCTCGTGTTACTCTCACCAATTACCAGAGTAATTATGACGCCCTGACCAGTGTGGCTCAGTGGGTAGAGCGTCGGCCTGCGGACTGAAGGGTCCCAGGCTCAATTCCGGTCAAGGGCATGTACCTTGGTTGCGGGCACATCCCCAGTGGGGAGTGTGCAGGAGGCAGCTGACCGATGTTTCTCTCTATCCCTCTCCCTTCCTCTCTGTAAAAAAATCAATAAAATATATATATATATATTTTTTTTTTAATATATATTTTATTGATTTTTTACAGAGAGGAAGGGAGAGGGATAGAGAGCTAGAAACATCGATGAGAGAGAATCATCGATCAGCCGCCTCCTGCACATCTCCCACTGGGGATGTGCCCGCAACCCAGGTACATGCCCTTGACCGGAATCGAACCCGGGACCTCTCAGTCCGCAGGCCGACGCTCTATCCACTGAGCCAAACCGGTTTTGGCAATAAAATATATATTTTTTTAACAGAAAAAAAAAGAGAGATGAGAACAGGGTTCCTGGTTTAAGCTACAACTAACTATTGGCTAGTCATAAAAAAAGGGGGTATTAAAAAATGCAGAGCGTCATGAACCAGTAAGGGAACAACAGCAAACCAGTATTTAACCTACAAATCTTGACCAACGCTACTGCTGGAAGCAGAACATCATTCCTTCCTCAGGAATCATTCTAAACGTGCACGTGACAAGTCAGCCTCCTGTGTGAGTTATTTCGTGCTTTAGACGTTCAGCGGCTGTTTCTACAAACATCCCTAAGCAAACGAGATGCGCCCACACGCACAGAGCGGGGTTTTGGAGTCGCAGAGACCAGTAGGGACCGCTCCCAGCCCTGAGCCTTGTAAACAAAGAAGACGGTGTCAGGATGATAAACTCCGTACGCATCAACCCGGAGAGCAGGAAGGGAAACCAAGGCCGCTTACCGCATCATTCTCCTTCTCGTAAAAGTAGATGTATCTGTTCAGAATCTCTATAAAGAGTTGCACTTGCAGCGAGGGGTCCATGCACTGGTTTGCTATTTTCAGAGCTTTCTTCAGGCATTCCATGACCCTCTTGCCTCCATGCAGCTGGAATGAAGGGGCGCGTTTAAAGAGATCAATGGATCACCCATGTCCAGCCACACAGGGAGATGAACACAACTCTCCAGTGCCTCTCTCATGTTTAAAGGGACAAAAGGAACTTAAATCTTCATTTTCTAAAGCACACAGCTACGTTTTAAAGTAAATAGGTTACTTGTTTTGTGTATTTATGTTTTATATTTATAGATAGCACTAGAGGCCCAGTGCACAAAAATTTGTGCACTGGTGGGGGGGTGGGGGGGGGGGCGTCCCTCAGCCCGGCCTGTGCCCTCTCGCAGTCTGGGACCCCTTGGGGGATGTCCCCCTGCTGGCAGTCAGACATCCCTCTGGCAGCCCGGGAGCCCTCAGGGAATGTCCACTCGCCAGTGGGGAGCAGGTCTAAGCTGTAGTCAGACATCCTTAATGCTGCTGAGGAGGCGGGAGAGGCTCCTGCCACCACCGCTGTGCTGGCAGCCATCAGCCTGGCTTGTGGCTGAGCAGAGCTCCCCCTGTGGGAGCGCACTGACCACCAGGAGGCAGCTCCTGCATTGAGCGTCTGCCCCCTGGTGGTCAGTGTGTGTCATAGTGACCAGTCATTCCCAGTCTTTCTGCTGTTAGGGTCAATTTGCATATTACCCTTTTATTATAAAGGATTCCTCGGAGATACTGTGGGCTAGGTTCCAGACCACTACAGTATTGCAGTAAAACAAGTCACTCAAGTTTCCTGGTTTCCTGTGCGTGAATGAGCTACGTTCAGCCTCCACAGCAGTCCATTAACTGTGTGAGAGGAGGCCGGGGAGCGGGCGGGAGTCCGGGATGGCTGGCGGGTGGAGCAGTCAGAGCAGACAGCAAGCACAGCCCCATCTGCATGGTGCAGCACGGGACACCCCCAATGGTGACAGCAGGGACACCACCGAGCACGGGTCACACCACAGTGTAACAACCAAGAACAAGCCTGACGCTGAGCATCAGCAGACGCGGACAGACACGGAGCGGCCATGCCGCTGAAGTGGCGCCACGTGGGATGCAGGGGAGCACACACCCTCCCCGTGTGACAGACGCTGTCTGCGGAGGCAGCAGCCACCTGCACTGAGCAGGCCGGCCTGGGCATGTGTCTGCTACAGGCAGCGGCATCGACTCACTGTTACAACTGTCCTAAGCGGAGGCGTCCGTGCAGGATGTGACCCTATACATTCCTTTCCTTTCCATTTCTTTAAAGGAGCCATGTTCCAGGTACAGGTTCCTGGCACCGCCAGCACCTCCCTCCAGGCACAGCCCGCCACCCGCGCTCCCTCCCGCAGCGGCCCAGGCGCCTCACCTCCTCCCCGTTCTTGTCGGTGTTCCTGCCGGACCAGAAGAGATGGGCGCAGGTGCTCACGGCTCGGCCCTGGTCCGGCTTCTTCAGGAGCTTGGAGGCGGCGAGAGCGCACTGCGTCCTCAGCGGCTCGTGGTTCTCCTCGCCGAAGCACTTCATCCTCTCGAATGTGCCGATGATCAGCGTGATGGCCGCCAGCTGGGCTTTGGAGTCACTGATCTCATCCTCATACAGAGAGAACGCCTGGCAGACAGAGCGGGCCTTTAGGTCCCAGCCCTGCCCGCGGGCATTTCCCCAGCAGCTCCCACACCCAGCGGGAGGCCTTCCGCAGGCTTCGGATGAGAGCGCGTGGCCCGGGAGAGGCAGGAGGCAGCGAAGATGCCGACCAGCTGCAGCAGGAAGACGGGTCTTAGCTTTTGCTTAACCCCGGCTTCCCCAACTGAATGAGCAAAGGAAGTTTGGCCGTGGCCCGCTTGGAAGTCCTGGGTCTCCCTAGCTCCCAGTAACTAACTGATGGGGTCCCCTCCAAACCAGTCCCGGCGGCTGCAGCACTAAGAGGTCCGAAGCCGGTGGGAAGGGAGGCGCAGCCCTGGGCACCACCCCAGGCGACTGAGCCCAGAAGGGGACAGGTGTTCACCTGGGACATGAACTCATACGCTACTGTCTCGTGGTTCTCAAAGCCGATCTCGCCGGCCGCGAGGGCGCCCTGCAGGAACAGCCGGAGGGGCAGCTCCGCCAGCTCGGCCTTGATCAGGGCGCTGATGGTCTGGTGAGCAAAGGAGAAGATCTTCTGGCACTTCTTCTCCCACTTGTCGTCCTGCAACAGGAAGCGAGCTGGCTACCTTAGGTCGGACGGCCGTGCGCAGGGACACCCACTGCACATGAAGCTCTACAGAACCAGCAGAAGGCAGGCAGCTGTCTGTCCTCTCTCTCTCACGCGTTCACAAAGCGGACGGGGCAGCGGAGTCTTCTCGCGCCGCCCTTCCAGCTCACCGTGCACGCTCAATGCTGGGCATCTGGTCTCTCTCATCAGAAAAGCAACACATTCCAAATTTGGACAAAATCAGAAAAAGAAACAAAAAAAGATGTGTAAAATTAAAGTCATCCCTAAACCGATGGCAGCAGTCATCACTGATAACGCTGTGTGCGAAGGTCTTCCTTCCTTTCTGCTCTGCAAAGGTAACGTGATGGGGACCTTGTTCATGGTCCTGCTCTCCACTTCACAGCAGCTCAGAAGTAATGGTCCAGCCTACTGGGTGTGGCTCAGCAGATAGAGCGTCAGCCCGTGGACTGAGGGCCCTGGGTTCAATTCCGGTCAAGGGCACATGCCCGGGATGTGGGCTCGATCCCCAGTAGGGGGCGTGCAGGAGGCAGCCGATCAATGATTCTCTCTCATCATTGATGTTTCTCTCTCTCTCCCCCTCTCCCTTCCTCTCTGAAATCAATAAAAATGTATTTTAAAAATAAGAATTGAAAAAATTAAAAAGCAAACAAACAGAAGAACCACAATGGGTCCAACCCCAAGATGCCTCGATGGGGCTCTCAGAGGTGACAGGCGCCGGCTTCCCCGGGCAGAGCTCGGGCGGCCCCCCCGCGTGCCCTGCAGCCCTGCCGTGTGGCAGCCGCTCTGTCAGACTAAAGGCTGAGCAGCCGTGCAGCAGACTCATCGTGTCTCACCAGTGACCTTTGGATGCGGGAAAGCTTCGAGCACACACTTCACCCGGCTGAACGCTCATCCCTGAGCCCTCGGCCGGTGTCTGACCTGCCGACATCACTGAGGGCCGCGGGGGAGCTGAGAGCCGCCGACACTGGGGTTTAGGCCGCCACCGGCTGCTTGTGTGTCTGGACGTTTTCTATAGAAATGAACTGAAGTGCACACTGTGGGGGGAGGAAGAGCAGGGCTCACTGAGCAGCACACCCACCACTTTGGAATTCTGCTTGTAGCGGAAGGCCAGCTGGTAGGCCGCGAACACCAGGGGCGGCAGCGTGAAGCGGATCCGCTGGTTCCCGCCAGCTCCAAAATGTTTCCGTGCCGTGTTTAAAATCTGCCCAAAAAACCACAAAACCATCAGTCTTCTCTGCACCGTGATTAACCATCATCCAATTAGAGGAGGCGCTGGGCCTCGCGCTGCTGCCAGCCCCCCGCGGGCACGTCACACCTCTGCTCTCGCAGGCATCCATCACCCGACACACACGAACCCCATCTCGCAAACGGGGGCTCAGACACGCTGCAGGGCCCACCCCGTCAGGGCAGGGAGGGGCTTGAACGTTTCCCTGAGCGCGTGCACGAAGTGCCCGCGGGCAGAGCGCTCCGGACAGACTCCGTTCCGCTTTCAATGTGGCAAGCACAACTGACACTGGCAAACCTTGAACACAAGGATTGTTGCTTACACGTTAAAGCAACAGTTAAAAGGCTATGAGCGTGGAATGGTTCCTAGACACCCAACTAAGGGAAGATGGCTTTTCTGCGGTTCCTAAGTCTCCAAACGGAACAGACTCCAGAACACTGCAAACAACTGTGCACAAAGAAAGGGAAGTCTACGGGTTCCACCTCACCTCCTCCCGGCTGCCCTTCTCTCAAACCCTCCCACGCCCCGCTGCGTGAGCCCGTGAGCCATGTCTGTGCCGCTTCCCCTGGCGTCGCGGGCGGGCAGAGCTCGCCGTACCAGGTACTGCTGGTCGGGGTCCTCCGACCGCAGGAGGTGGATGAACCGGCCCACGAGGCTCTGCTCGTCGGCGAAGTCCTCGGGGTCCGGGTCCTCCGCGGGCTGATCGGGCTGGTCCTGGATCAGCGTGGAGACGAGGTTCATGATGGCGTCCACCTGTGCGTGAGACAGAGCCCGGGTGAAGCCTTCGGCAGGAAAAGCGCCGTCAAGGGGTTGGCAGCCGTAAAGTCGCCCGGCAGCATCCACAGGACAAGCCCTGCGAGCGAGGATGTGCAGGCAGCACCCCCGTCGGCAGGGACCCGCGGCAGGTGCCAGTCAGCCACGGCCCTCGCTCTGGGGAGGTTCCAGCCGCCTGTCTCCTCCTCATGCGTCTCCACTCCCGTAACCACCACAACGAGCAGCCACTTGCAACCACACAGCACGCCGGCCGGCGCTCCTACCTGGTCCTGAGAGACGATCTCCGTGTTATAATCCAGAACATTGCTGAGCACGTAGCAGCTCATGCTCTTCCTGGACTCGTAGTCGAAGTACTCGAAGAGCGGGTGGAAGTGCCTCAGCTTCAGCACGGTCAGCACGTTGCTGTAGGCGTCCACGGGGATCTTCAGCAGCCTGGTGAGCTCCTTGGAGACCGCGCTGCTGGTGGCGATGCTGCAAGAGGCAGGGCGGCCTTTACCGAGCAGAACCAGCTCCCGCAGACAGACGGCGGCGCTGGGCTCACGATCACCTGCCTTCTCATTGACACAGAGAGGAAACGGCCCAGGGGACCACCACCCCCACCCCAACGCCCTCCTTCCCAGACGCCTGTCCTGACACGTTTATTCACCTATTGATGCCCTAGTGACAACAAGGCGACTCAGTAATGCCAGGCTGTGGAGCTGGGGGCAGAATGACTGTCTGGAATTTGCTGTTTCTAAGGAAGGAGGAGGCGGTGGCTCGGTCCCGGGGTAGCCAGTAAGCACTGTTTAGCAGGACGAAGGTAGGTAGGGAGAAAAATCCAGGCCAAACCAGCAAGGCCACCAAACATGGGAAAGCCAACTCCCGCTTCTGCATCGGACGGCGGTGATTCAGGACAAGTGGCTGGGTTCCAGGCAGCACCTGTGGCGCTTCTGTGAGACCGAGGGATCGCGGCCATTTAGAGAATTGGAGAGATCGGGATTTCTAATTCTTTATTTTATCTAATTTTACTTTAAAATGCACTTAGTCAGGGAAGATACGGAGACATCAGTGCTGTCATTCAAGATCTGAATTGCTTTTCAGTCACACAAAAATGGCAGACCCAAGGGAAGAGGGGGCTGGGAGGAGGTACAAGAAAAAGTAACCCTCAGGTGCAGCAGACACCGGAGGCGGAAGGAGGGCGCCGGCATGAGGTGGAACAATAACACACAGGCAGAGAAAGACAAAGGGCTCGGAAGTCCCACAGTGGCCACTAGAGGGTGCCACAGGCCTGGAGAGCTCCGCTAAGGCCCCTGTGTCTTCTCTCCTTGACGGCATCAAAGATCCCAGCAGACAGGGATCTCACAGCACCATCACTCCCACACCTGCCATCCTGCACGCCCTTACGTTTCACAACCCACTCATCTGTTGGAACCCCTTCTCATGGAGCTGCTGCTTGGCGTCAAGAGCCTCCCTCGGGTTCAGAACGAACTCATTCATTATTCAGAGGGGCCTGAACCGGAGACGCGGTCCCGGGAGCCGCCTGCACTCCATGAGCCACCACGTGACCAGGCAGCAGCCACATCATCAGTCCCACTCTCTGCCCCGACCAGCACCAAGCATGTCCCTCAAACAAATGCTTGGCACAGACGGACGCTAACCCTTCGGAAAGGAGCGGAGGAAGAAAAACAAACCTGGGACAAAAAGGTGCCTTCGAGGGCTTTTACGAGAGAATGTAACTGACTCACTGTTCCAGGTTGAGCTTGTTAAATATCTCCACTGTCGTCTCCAGAACTTTATCGACATAGTCCACTCGGTCCGGGTAGCACTTCATCGCCAGGTTGATGAGGGAGACTTGTAAGGACACGACATCCTCCGAGGGCATGTCCTGTCTAGACTGCGGTGGAGAAAGTACGGGGTTCACTCTAAGCAGGTACAAAAGGACCTCCCAGCCCAGGGGTTCCGGCGGGAACCTGGGCAAAGCCACACCCACCTGGATCACAGTCGCCACCTGCTGCGAGAATATGTCGAAGAGCTTGATGTCTGCGGGGATGCCAGGCCCGTCCTCACGGTGCGCAAACAACGCTAGCCTGGGGGCAGAACAGCCTTGTTTAGGGGCAGGGAGCTGAGCATCGGGTCCCAGGGGACATGTCACTCCCGCGCCTTCCCTGTTTCCTACAGGCCTTTCTCCCAGAACAACAAGGGCTTCAAAGAGGACACGGGATGCAGCCCATCACTTCCTCAGTTCACTTCCAGCTGAACAGTGTGCAGTGAAGCCTTACTTCCCTGCATGCCTGCTTTACCCCAAGCCTGACACCGCACAGAAATGGTATTCAACAGGCCAATTCTGCCAAATTCTTTGAACCCTAATTAATCAGATATGGACAGAAATGCATGAAAGTGACAGATGTATTCAACAGATGATTATAAAGAAAAATCTTTAGCCCGGCTGGCGTGGCTCAGTGGTTGAGCATCGACCTATGAACCAGGAAGTCACGGTTAGATTCCTGGTCAGGGCACATGCCCGGGGTTGTGGGCTCCATCCCTAGTGGAGGGCGTGCAGGAGGCAGTCGATCAATGACTCTCTCTCATCATTGATGCTTCTCTCTCTCTCTCCTTCTCCCTTCCGCTCTGAAATCAATAAAAACATATTTATATATAGCATATGTTCGTTATCTCATGCTTCCTGCACAATTAAACGCTAAACCTCTTCCATGCCGAGGTGAGGCGAGCACGAGTAGGTACCGACGCTGACAGGACTGAACAGCGAGCGCACCGACACGAAAGCACTGCTGTAACGAAGAGGTCGCGGACGTCATTCAGGATAGCGCCTCACACTGTTCTCTCCGGTCAGCACGCTCGCCCGCCGGCACTGGGAGCTCTTACCTGTCGATCAGAGCGATGATGATGTTCTTCACATTCACGTTCTGGTGTAACTCCGCGCAGGCCCGGAGAAAAGGGTTCAAGGTCTGAAGGTGGAATTCGTCAGGGAAAACCTGGAAATCACATCACATCAGAGCTGACTGGTACAAGCACACACAGTTCACACGAGATTCTGGACTTATTGCGGTATTGGAAGTTCGTATTTGTGGGAGAAATCGCTTCAGTCTCAGAGGACTAAAGTAAAATACTTGAAGCCTCTCCAGACGTAAGCCCAGACAGACTATCCCACTGACCACAGCGCACCCACAATTACGCTACAACTAACGAGACCTGGACACCGGGGGGGGGGGGGGGGAGAAGACGCTCTGACACGTGGGGAGGAAAACACAAAGACCACGAGGGAGCAGCAGGAGAAAGGAATTACTTACTCAGCAAAGCTCATTTCTACTCTCTCAAGAGTTTTTTTAAAAATGAAAATTAATGAACTATAAAGTGGGTCATTTAAAAAAACATAAACTTGCCCTAGCCGGTTTGGCTCAGTGGATAGAGCATCGGCCTGGGAACTGAAAGGTCCCAGGTTTGATTCCCGGTCAGGGCACAGGCCCGGGTTGTGGGCTCCATCCCCAGTGGGGGACGTGCAGGAGGCAGCTGATCCATGATTCTCTCTCATCATGGATGTTTCTCTCTCTCTCCCTCTCCCTTCCTCTTTGAAATCAATAAAAATGTTTTTAAAAAGCTTTAAAATAAATAAGAACATAAATGAAGTGTTGTGACCCACCTGAATAATACACTCCATGAGGTATTCTTGAGCCAAAGCATCCCGACAATTGACGACCTGCTCCAATATGCCGGTCAAGACGATCTGAGAGAGAAAAGTAAGAGTTAAAATACGATTTTCAAAATCTTAAGTCACCTCTCTAGTAACACACTTGGACTATTAATTTAAAAATCATATTTTAGATTTTTCTCATCCATGCTTCATTTCTAGATTAAAATTTTATAGCCCAGCCGGCATGGCTCGGTGGTTGAGCATCAACCTATGAACCAGGAGGTCACGGTTAGATTCCTGGTCAGGGCACAGGCCCAGGTTGTGGGCTCCATCCCCCGTGTGGGGCGTACAGGGGGCAGCCGATCCATGATTCTCTCTCATCAATGATGTTTCTCTCTCTTTCTCCTCTCCCTTCCTCTCTGAAATCAATAAAAGTATTTTTTTTAATTTTACAGAGAATTATTAAATTAAAAACCCTATGTTTCTAATAGTAAAATTCATCTGGGATGAAGTCCATTTCATTAATCTTTTATCTTTTATGGTTTGTGCTTTTTAAATCCTAAGAAATCTCTGTCTAAGCCAAGGTTATAGAGACTTCCTTTGTGTTGTCTTCTAAAGATTTTAATAGATTTTAGGTTTAAGTCTCTGGCCCATTTTTTAGTTTTTTTCGTGGTGTGAGGCTGGGTCACAGGCAGGGGTTTTGTCGGCATACAGATGTCCATATCCCAGAACCATCTGTTGTAAAGGTCGCCCCTGCGCCTTTATAAGTAGTGGATTATATGTGGGTGGTCTATTCCGGACCGCCGCCTCCAGGGGCCACAGCCTGGCTGACCTGGAGGTTGCTGCCGCCCGTCTGTGCCGGCTTCAGCGAGACCCACGGGCACAGCAGTTCCAGGCAGTGGAGTAACCAGTATTTCCTCTCTGATGCTTCACAAAAAATGTCTGTGGCTCCCTGCTCTCTTCTCTCCAGACTTAGGTGTTTATCCCTTTCACCAACCCCATGATCTTACGTAGCTTAGAGTAAATCTACAGCAAAATATAGTTCATCTCAATTAAAAAAGGGAAACTGGTAATATTCAACCTTCCACGCCACAAACACAAAACGTATCTTTCGGTTTATTTAAGAAAATCTTCTTCGATGTCATTTCACAAAAATATTTCGATTTTTAAAATCAGACCCCAGTGATCCCTCCGGACACGAGAGGAGGTGAGGAGTGAAAAGACACCTGCTTGTAGCGCTCCACGTTGACGCCCTCCAGCTGGCTGAGGCGCACCAGGTTGGTCCCCACCAGGATCCGCAGCTCCTGCCGCTCCCGCTCGCGCTTCTCCCTGTCGCGGCTGTGGCCCTGGTGCTGCATTCGCACCCACAGCTTGTTCATTTCTGCAAAGTTCAGGAGCACAAAATCCATGGAGTCACTGATGTCGCCCGTCGTTTCTTCACTGCAAGGAAACAGCGGGAGACTTCACATACAGGGTCCGCATCAGGACAAACGCACTGCCACCGCCCTTCGTGCATCTCCCCTCCTCCCTCTCATGCCCGGTGCTTCATCCAAGGCTCCCAACCTCCCCAGCTCAGTGTTCAAGTTCAAGGGGAACAAACTCCAGGGGAAAACGCCAGGGAGAGGACCCAGCACATCACAGTTGTTAAAGGGACAAAACACTCCCCCACGCCTGCCCTGCACCAACCAGACCTACTGTTCCAACAATTCCCTTAGCTCACAAAGCCTAAAAAACCTGACGTAGCCTACTGGTAAGGACATCATTTTACTGTGAAATAGCTTATGTTTCAACTGAACGGTCAGCCTGGCGAGGGAGGGAAGAGGTCATGCATTTCCTGCCTGTTTCCACACCTCCTAAGACGGGGAACTTGGTTTTCAAACATTTGTTACCGATTGCTTAATTAACCTTCAAAATGGGAGGAGAATCATAACAAAGCCAGTAACCTCACATGCATCTCTCCGCTGCTGAACTTGTATTTGTTCTGGTTGGGAGATAATATCTAATTTGTGTGCTTAGATCATGAAAATTACTTCTGTTCTGGGTAACTGGCAGGCCAGTCCATAAACTGCACAAACTGACGGACCCTCAGGGAACGGCATGAAAACTGGATAGTTCATGGAAAGCATTAAGCACATGTCATTATTTCACTGTAAATACAATTTCAAAAACAGAACGCATTTAACAAGCCATCTTTTCAAAGACCATCGAACAGAATGGGAAATGCTCTCAATCACGATCAATAAGAAAAGCGGGCCCTAAGGATGCAGATGTCCCCGGCGTGCGGCACACGCGCCTCTCGGCACACACAGAGGCGCGGCGTCACAGCGACCTGAGCACCCGGCCTCCGCGCACTGAGCACCCGGCCTCCGCGCCCGGGAAGCAAGGCACTCACTCGGTGGGCTCCCCCTCGTCGGGCAGGATGTTCCGGGTGCACTGGAGCAGGTAGTTGCGAAGGAACAGGCCCCGCAGGGGGTGCTGCACCCCCCGGCACATCTCCACCAGGTCCTTCAGAATGTCCTTCCGGGACTGAGGGAAAGACTTGACATACACCACGCCCACCGTGATCAGCAGGTACCTAGGATGTGGGGAGACACTGGTCAAGTCCAGAGCCTGATGGCGCATGCCCAGACACACTGAAGACAAACGCATTCGGTACACAAGGCGGGGCCTGGCTTTCTCCTGCACGATGACAAAAATAGATTGACAGAAAATATAACCGCTGACCCCCGAGTTTACACACACACACACACACACACACATCTATAACCATCGCCTTTCCACGCATTAGGAATAGCTGTCACATTCGCTTTTCTACTAGTCAAGACATTGAATAAAATATGGCCATTTCTTTGTTTCCAACACTCCTCATTAATCTGGCTGAGAAGCAAACGATCGCCCTCTGCGAGGCCCTGAGCGCCATGACTTACAGCCGAGGGATGATGTTGCCCGCGTACTGCACCAGCTCGTAGAGATCCGCCACCTTCCGTCCTTTGGCGAACTCGTCCGTCAGGTAGACCTCCAAGTAGTGCAGCTCATCAGAAATAGCCATGTCTTTCCGCAGGTTAAGGGCTCAAATAAAGCGAGGCCACGCTGAGCGACTCCCTGGACGCGTGGCAGCCATTGGGCCAGCGGGCAGCTATCTCAACATAAGGTTGTGAAAGCTGTCTGTCTGGTGGGGCAAAGCAGACAGAACAAGGGCTGCCTGTCCGTCTGCTGGCGGGTTTGCAACGACACATCCCAGACTCCCTTTCCCTGTGCGAGCCCTGAGCCAGAATCGGAGCTGTCATAAAGAACCAGCTGCCAGTGCCCTCAGGAAGGCTCTGGGAACTGAGGCACAACAAACAGCATGAAAGTAGCGAAGACAGCCGTAACCGGTTTGGCTCAGTGGATAGAGCGTCGGCCTGCGGACTGGAAGGTCCCAGGTTCGGTTCCGGTCAAGGGCATGTAGCTTGGTTGCGGGCACATCCTCAGTGGGAGGTGTGCAGGAGGCGGCTGATCAATGTTTCTCTCTCATTGATGTTTCTGACTCTCTATCCCTCTCCCTTCCTCTCTGTAAAAAATCAATAAAAATATATATTTTTAAAAAAATAAAATAAAGTAGCGAAGTCACAGAAGAAGGGCCTCCAATACTGGGATTTCTTTCTGTCACTTAGCACCTCTGCCTGGAGAGGGAGCACTTCTGCTGAAGACAGCGAAGATGACATAATCCAGGAAAACGCAGGAGCAAACAAAGGTGGCCTGACCAGGAAGGATGAAGCCGTGTGCCCTCTCCCGCTCAAAGGATACAGAGTTCGTAGTAGCTCTTGGGCGACAGCATGGAGGTCCGCAGCTCCCCAAGCATGTTGGAGGCGTGTTTCAGCGCGTCCATGAGCTTGTTTTTGTCCTAGAGACAGGACAGAACTGATGAGAAGCGCGCCTTAAACAAACCCTGACGCGGTTAGGGGACTCCTTCACCGGTATTTGATACAGCACTTAAATAGCTAAGTCACACAGAACTCCAGCCTTCTCTCCACTGAAAAGGAAAAGATGCAGAGTAGCCGGCAGGTGCAGGGCTCAGCAAGCCTTCCATATCCCGGCAAAGCTCCAGCCCTAACCCCCCCCCCCCCCCCCCCGCCACTGCGGCCAGAGCGGCAAGGACTCGGCTCCCCTGCGATCAGGATCAGGAAGCCGGCTCGCCGCTCCTCTGGGGCAGGACACTGTCCTGGCAATGGCGCGGCCACAGCTTCCAGACCCTCTGACACTGTCCCGGCAATGGGGCGGCCACAGCTTCCAGACCCTCTAACACTGTCCTGGCAATGGCGCGGCCACAGCTCAGACCCTCTGACACTGTCCTGGCAATGGCGCGGCCACAGCTCAGACCCTCTGACACTGTCCCGGCAATGGCGCGGCCACAGCTTCCAGACCCTCTAACACTGTCCTGGCAATGGCGCGGCCACAGCTCAGACCCTCTGACACTGTCCTGGCAATGGCGTGGCCACAGCTCAGACCCTCTGAGAAGCTGGAGGACGATCCCCTCAGACCCGGAAGCACGGGCATAGAGACAGAACACAGCAGCTCCGTGCCCACCGTGCTCCCCACTCCACGACTTGTCTCTTTTGTGCCAACTGTTTGCGAGAAAAGCCACCCGACAGGTAACACTGGTCAAAAGCCTGTCACTACGCCTCAGAAACCACAGACGCGGTAAGAGATGGTTGTCAGCATCATCGTCACAACAACGTGTAACCAGCCCACACGGGTCCGTTTCTTACATTTAATCCCGGAATCCATAGTTTCTACAGATTATCCCCTGCCCTATCTAAAACTCTTTTGGGAATTTGAAAATAAATAAATAGGTGTAAGTATAATTCTTAAGCGAGTGTCTACAAAAAATACATTCAGAACAAAAGAAAAGCCCTCAAGATAGAACACAGCGGAATAGCTCAGTGGCGAGCACGCGAGTCCCCCGCCGGCCACACCACCTGTGGGTGCGCAGACCGCGCCCCACCCGCCCGCTTACCAGGCATCTCTTCATCTGGAAGGACTGCACCTTGACAGCCTGCACAGCCTCATCCAGCAGCTTCTCCTGCTCGTCCTGCGGGGACTGCTGTGTCGTAGGCTGCAAAGCAAGAAACGCCTCCGTGAGTCTCACCCGCACTCTCTTCTCGCAGCTCGGCTAGGCCTATAGCTTCACCGGGTCCCTTCCCCAGGCTTCCCCGGAGGCTCGGCCCGAGGAACATCCCAAACCCACCCCCAGTGTCTGCCGACTACTGCACAGAGCGCTGTGCCTGGGCCTGAGGTCAGCGCGACACTGAGGAGGCGGCCGTGTGCAGAGAACGTATTCTCTCTCCGGGACTGACTGAGCATCCCCCTAACAGGTGAGCCTCGAAGAAACCCAAGGGCCAGTTTATGCTGCCTCGGTTCTGCTGGCACGCTCTGAATCCACCCCAAACGCAGCTATCGAACAACCCCATTCATATATATATATATATTTTTTTTTTTTATTTTTTTAATTGATGTTTCAGAGAGAGAGAGGGAGGGAGGGAGAAAGAGAAACATTAACATCTGTCAGCTGCCTCCTGCGTGCCCCGTGCTGGGGACCGAGCCAGGGACCTCTTGGTGCATGGACTGATGCTCAACCACTGAGCCACGCCGGCCAGGCAACCAACCCCAGGCTTGTGAAGGTTTCCGTTCTGCCCGAATCTCTGAAAGCATCTTCCTCTCTAGACTACTTTCCACCTGCACTTCAGTCTCTCCTTAGACCAAGGAAGCGGTTTATGGAACACTGACCCCCCCCCCCCCCCTTAAGCAGTATGTAACGAGGACTGAACAGCTAGGAAGAAACTAGTTGGGCTTAGTGTAGCAGACATGATACTCTCCAAGTGCCTCGCTCATCACTTCAAACACAGATCCAGTGATACGGACACACGCAGGGTGGGGCAGAAGTAGCTTACAATTGTTGATATAAAAAGTAATATAGTAATTAATAGTAATACAAGAATAGCACTTGTGCTTTGCGCACTCAGGCCTGTAAACCTGCCTGTATGTCTAGGTAATCTGTGCCGTCAGCGAAAACCTGCTCCCAACATGAATTAGGCCCGCCTGTCAAGCAGAATTAACCGCCATCCTCTCCCTGTTGCATAAACACTGTGTGTGCACCTCAACCACAACTGGGTCATGTTATAATTATAAGTGATGGTCACCTGTACATCCTTGGGACCCAGCACTGCCTGACACCTAATGGATGTTCATAAACGTCCAACGAGTGAATGGATGAGCTGGTGTTAGAATGTTCAGAACCCTTAAGTTAACAGAAAATTACTAGAGAATCAACAGATGAGTGGATAAACAAGCTATGGTATACATAAACAACAGGATGCTATCCAATCGCACAAAGGAAAGCAGTACTGACACGTGCTCTGGGAGTGAACCTAGAAACCTGTGCTAAGTGAAAGAAGCCGGACACAAGACCGTATGTCGCATGATTCCGTTTGTATGAAACATCCAGGACAGGCGAATCTCCCCAGGAAGGTTGTAGGTGGTCACCAGGAGGGAGCGTGGGGAGTCGCGGCTTAAGGAGGACCACAGGGTCTCCTCTGGGTGACAGATGTCTGGGGACTAGACCGAGGTGGGGGTTGTACAACATTGGGCTTAAATGCCACTGAACTGCTCACTTTTAAAAGGTTTATGTTACGTAAACTTCACCTTAATTTAAAAAACGGCTAAAGAAAAAATGGAAATGCTACAGAATCAAGATCAAATGGACACTGGCGATTAGGCCCCTTTTAGCTGGAGACCCAAACCGACAGCACCCCCAGGCCCACACAGGTGTGAGGCGCAGAGAAAAGCCAAGGTCACTGTGAGCTCGGCAACCACAAAACTCCTCTCCGTTCCACCTCCCCTGCTGTCAAACGAGGACCAGGAGCACGCACATCACGGCTACGAAGAAGGAAATGCTTAGCACCAGCGCTGCAGAAGTGCCACCGCATTACTACAGCCCCCTGGGCACAACCCATCATCTCCCCTCGTCCCAACGCCTTGTCTGCTGGCCAATCTCTCCACTCACAGGCCGCAGGAACCTAACAACACAACCCAAGTCAACTGCAAAGTGAAAATAACCCACTCGCAAGCAGACAGAACACCACCACCTTCATGAAAGAGCAGCTGGAAACATAAGGCACAAAACACAACTGAAGGAGGGCGAACAGGGCCGAGGAGGGGGTGGAGCTCAGGAGGGAGACATCACCTGCCTGCGCACTGTCCTCCCTGGGCTCCTTCCCAGCTCCCCAGGCGGCCTCGCCCGGGGACCCAGCGCCCCGGGACCCAGCGCAGGGCTGTGGCGCTGGCACAGCACCCGCGGCCCTCCATCCTCCACCCACCTGTCCCCCCCCAGACCCCTAAGCTCCGCGAGAAGACGGTTCCAGCTCTGGGCACGGTCCTGATGTACAAGGCACACAAGGTGCTGGACGAACTGAACTGCATCCTAGAATTCCAGGATGGGAAGAGCCAACAAGACCAACACTTGTTTTCTTTCTTTCTTTTCTTAAATGTTTTTATTGATTTGAGAGAGGGAGAAAGGAAGGGAAAGGGAGAGACAGCAACATCAGTGATGAGAATCATGGACCGGCTGCCTCCTGCAGGTCCCCCAACTGGGGATGGAGCTGCAACCTGGGCCTGTGCCCTGACCTTGAATGGAATCGTGACCTCCTGGTTCATAGGTCAAAGCTCAACCCCTGAGCCACGCCCGCGGCCGGGCAACACTGTTTTTCAAATGCAAAAGTAAGGCTCAAAGACGACTGAGTGACCTGCCCAAGGCAGGCAGTGACCAGCCTGGCACGCGGGTTTTCTCTCCCAATAAAATGCAGGTGCACAGGACGGTGGGTCTGGCGCCCTGCACCGGACGGGTCCCCCAGCACAGAAACGGGGCGTATAGCAGGAGAGCCTCAGTGAAGGGCTCCCGTTACCAAACACCGTGTCAGTCTATACATGTGGGGAAGCTGACAAACCCCAGTTCCATGTCGGCCCTGTTCGGACGGCCGCTCCCAGCTGTACCGTCTGGGAGAGGAGCCACACAGCCTCGCGGAGCAATACGCCACCCGGACGGGTGTGCGTCCCCATCTATGCTGCTCTCCGGCCCCCACGCGGGAAGGGCAGCCCGTGTCCAGGGCCCGTCTGCACCGGGTGCACGCGAGGTCCTTCAAACGAACCTACGGCGGCCACACACACACATCCCGCAGCCGCTGCGGACTCGGAAATAAAATGCAAGTGACAACTCGCCCTCGTGGGAACCAGGCACCGGGCGCACATTTTGGGGAAGTTCCCGTTTGTGCGGGGAGAGAATGCCGCTCCCAGCGAGGGGGACGCGTGGATGCGATCACTGGGGAGACCGGCGAGCCGCCAGGTGCCCAGGACCACGCGTCACTAGCGACCAGGTAGCGCGTCCTTCCAGGAAACGCACGTCAGCGAGTCCCTAGAAACCGCTGGCAGGCACCGCGCTCCGGGAGGCGACTAGGCCGGGCGAGGCCGGGCAAGGCCGGGGCACCGCTCCGGTCCCTCCCGTGGGCATTTCCTGCACTGGAGAGGGCGTGGGGCCGGCGGGCACTATCAGGCACGAAGGCGGGACGCCGGCCGGGAGGCACCTCTGGGCGGGTCCCGAGGCCGCGGGCCCTCCGCACGCCCCCGGCCCAGCCGGACGCTCAGCCCCAGCTCTCGGGCTGCGGTTCCAGCCGGGCGGTAGCCGGCTGCATTCAGGACGGCCGCGGGCCTCCACGGCCCCCAGTGCCTGCAGGCCGAGACACCCCCGGGGAGCGCCCGCCTCGGAGCCTCGGCTGCGGCCGGGAGCCGCCGCCCACCGCGCCTGCGGCCTTCCCCGGTCTGTCCCGCACCCCGCAGGCCACGCCAGGCTGGTCGGAGCCGCGACCCGGCGGCGGGGCCTCAACTGCGCCCGCAGCGCTCCAGGGCGACGGGCGAGCGCCCGAGCTGGGAGGGGGGCCGCCGGGGCCCGCCGCCCCTCGGCACTCACCATGGCGACGCCCCGGGACCTGCAGCACTCAGCAGCCTCCGCGCGCCGAGCCAGCCGCGGTCAGGTGACGCCGAGGCCCCCAGGCCCCGCCCTCTCTAGCCCCGCCCCCTGGCCTGCAGGAGGCTTCTCGATTGGTCCGCTTCTAGGAGCCTAAGTCTCGCGTACTTATTGGCCCTTGCCTCAGCGTACTGGATTGACAGACCGAGGCGCCAGCCAGTCTGTTCTCGGAGTGGGAGAGGGCGGGGCGGGGCGGGGAGGCGGGGACTCGCTCGGAGCAGGAAGGAGAAAGCCAGCGGGAAAGGGAACCTGTCTGGAGTTTGTGAGGAACCGACGAATGGAAGGCGTGGGAGCCGCTCATCCACGTCGGTTAGCTTCGGCGCGTGCCATCGGGGTGCGCATGCGCAGAAGGAAGGCCACGATTGGTGTACGGGGCGGTCTCACGTTCCGCCCCAACCAATCCGGGCGCGGCAGGAGGGTGGGGCCTGGCCGCCACTGGCGGGCGCGGCGTCCGCGCGCGGGTTTCGTCTCTTCCGAGCTGTGCGCGCGGGTGCTTGTCGTCGGTGCCATGGAGTCGGGGCTGCTCCCCCGTCTAGCGCGGCGCCTGGGCGTCTCCGAGCCCGATGTGCTGAGGTGAGCCGCGCCCCTTTCCCGCAGGACTTGGGCCGGCAGCCACCTGGAGGAGGTGTCGAGCAGCCACTGTGGACCCCGCGGAGCTGCTGGCCCCCTGGGTGCGCGGCGGCGGAGGGCGGGAGTCGGAGAGCTTCGGTCGTTCCTCACGTGCTTCTCGGGGGTCTCTTTGCCGCGGCGCAGCCGACCGACGGGGCACAGGCCCTAAGGAGGTCGCGGTGTTGGCAGGAACTACGGACAAGACCCAGCTGGGTGACGGCCGGGCCGGGGGTGGGTGTCATTTGCGCTGAGACCCGAGTGACAGGAGGGGCCCGAGCGGAGCGGCCAGCGCCAGAGCGCTGATCGGAGGGCCGGCGGGATCCGGGGGGAGACGGGAGGCGGGTGGCCGAAGCGTGGACGGCGGGTCGGACCGGAAGGGGCGGGGGGCGGGGCTTGGAGGGAGACCTCCCGAACTCGGTTTCATCCGCCACCGCCGCTCTCCAGGTGCGGGGCCTGCACCCGCGGCGCGGGGTCCTCCTGACACCGGTTGGGGAAGCAAGTGCTCGCTGCCACGCACGCCCACCGCGCAGAGGCGCCGGGAGGAGACCCGCCTCTGCCTCGGGCATCGGGGCTGGAGGACCGCGGGGCTGGAGGAAGGAGCCGTGGTCTGGCTGTGGGTGGCGCATGCGGGACCCAGGAGCGTCAGGACGAGAAGGGCCGTGTGGGGAGGAATTGGGGAGCCGGCTTTGCCTGCAAGCGGTGCGTGAGCACCGTGGTGTCTGGAGCCGCCGCGCCCCGTCCTCCCCAAGGGACGTGCGTCGCCCTGGCCCCACGCGGACTTGCAGGGGAGACGGGCTCGGACCCGGGCGGCACTCTGCCTACCGCGGATCCGGGCGAGCGATGGGGCAGAGTGTTCAGGGGTCTGTCGCCCTTGTGCCCAGGAAAGCGGAGGAGCACCTGCGGCTGTCGCGGCTCAAGTGTGGGGGCCTGTCCGCGCGCACCACGGAGACCAGCAGGGCCGTCATGTGCCTGGACCTGGCGGCTTCCCGCCGGAGCTGCCCCCTGGACCGGGTAAGCGTCCCCCCGAAGGTCTACCCTACCGCGCATGTCACCTTCCGGTTGGACTGGGCCCCATCAAGACTCTTGTGTTTTAGTTTTCCTGACTCTGCTGGATGAACTTTAACTCCGTTTTGTCAAGTTGGAGGGAAAAAAAATTATTTTTTTGCAACATTCTCTTTATTATCCAATTTCCCTGGCCGGCCCGCCTGTCTTCACCCAGGGCCACCGGCCCTGCCTGCTGCGGCCAGCATCCTCCCAAAGTGCATCCCTTGAAACCCGGGTGTGTCTTTCCTTCAGCATCAAGGTGGCAGGGGAATCGGGAAGTCGGGGTTGAAGCCAGCCCTCGGCCCCACCTGTGTCTACCTCCAGCGCCCTCGCCTGGGGGGTGAGAATGCCCCTCGCACTGTGCCGTCGCGGGTTAAGCCGTGCCCTGTGTGAAACGCACTGAGCGCAGTGCTGGCACATAGCCATGCGCTCGTTACACGGGGGCATTGAAAACACCCTGGCCCGCATGGGTAGCTCCCCGTTACCATCAGCCGCACCAGCTTCTTGTGAACAGACTCCAAGCCACACAGTTCCCCCAACGGACCCGGCACTCGAATGGCCTGCAGTGGTCGGCAAACTGCGGCTCTTTGGCCCCTTGAGTGTGGCCCTTCCTAAGCCTTAGGAGCACCCTAATTAAGTTAATAACAATGTACCTACCTATGTAGTTTAAGTTTAAAAGATTTGGCTCTCAAAAGAAATTTCAGTCGTTGTACCGTTGATATTTGGCTCTGTTGACTAACGAGTTTGCTGACCACTGGCTTAAGGCTTTGTACATGCAGCAACTTCTTTCCATGGGAACACCCTCTGGCGGGCACCTGTTGGACCTCCACGGCCGCCTTGCTGGGACCCCCTTTGTGAGGACGCCCCCAGGCAGAGCTGGTTCCTCTCCTGGTTCCCCTCTTCTCTCCCTGTCCCTCCACACGCCCCTCCCCTCCCCAGGCTCCCCTCCTTGTTCCCGTGAATTGCACGTTAGCACCCTTGTTGAAACATGGGCGGCTGTGCTTGCACCCACTGTGCTCCGGCAGCTCGGCTGTAGTGACACTGCTGCTCTGCGACTTGCCTGCATGTGCCCGGCCGCCTTTCTGAGGTGTGAGCGCCTCGAGAGCCCCACTTAGCTCCCCGACACGGTCCCTCGTGTGCGGGACTTAGGACGTGTGTGTGCTTCCCTTTCGAAGGCTTACGCAGCTAAGCTCTCCGGTGTGAACCAGAAGACGTACCAGAGCTGCCTCAAGTCTTTCGAGTGTTTGCTGGGCCTGAATTCCAGTGTCGGGATACAAGACCTGGCCGTCCAGTTTAGCTGCACGGAGGCCGTGAACTTGGCTGCGCAGATGCTGCAAAGGTAGGAGGTGGAAAAGGCCTGGACTGGAAATCAATGCTGATCCATAAAGCAAAGTCATCCAGAGTTCTGTTCACGCAGCTTCCAGTGCCAAAGGCACCAAGATGCTGAAGTGACAGAATGCGTATCTCACATTAAGTAGCCTTTCCACCTGATTTGCATCCCCAGTCCCCGCGAAACACTATTTTCTAACAAGGAATTCTGCCAACACTGCTCTCCCTCAGCTATGAGTCCAGCCTTCCACAGACACAGCAAGCAGACCTCGACTTGTCCAGGCCGCTGTTCACCACCGCCGCCCTGCTCACGGCGTGCAAGTAAGTGTGTCTGCGCATCCAGAACAGTCCGCCCTGGCCCGGCCAGCGTGGCTCAGTGGTTGAACGTTAACCTATGAACCAGGAAGTCACGGTTCGATTCCCAGTCAGAGCACATGCCCGGGTTGCAGGCTTGAAATCCTCCCTGAAATCAGTCAAAATACATACTTATAGTTTAAAAATATCTTCAACCAAACAACTGTACTGGTCTGCAGAACAATAATTTATCAGTTTTCTTTGTAGGATTTTAAAGCTGAAGGTGGATAAAAGTAAAATGGTAGCCACGTCTGGCGTGAAGAAAGCCATATTTGATCGGCTGTGTAAACAGTTAGAGAAGATCGGGCAGCAGACAGACCGTGAGTACCAGTCCCGCGGCCCAGGGTGTGTCGTGTGGGAGCGTAAACCTGCCGGCCAAAGCCCAGGGTTTCCAACCTTGCGAAGCGGCTGCTCTGGATTCTGCGTTTATTCTGCTCCAGATCCGTTTCAGCGAGGAAGTTGTTTTATTCTGTTGTTCAGTTAAAGTAGCTCAGTAACTTCAAAAGCCTGGGACTCTCCGAGTCCCCCTGCAAGTGGAGTCTCTGCCGTGCTTCATGTTGGAGGCCGGCCCGCACACTGGAGCTTCCGGCCCGCACACTGGAGCTGGAAGAGCAGGGGTTCGCAGGTCTGGCGAGAAGCCAGAGAAGAGACCAGGGCAAGCTCGCTGCCTTCTCCCTACTCCTAGTAGTTGACCAGGCGAGGAATCTGGGTTTTATTTGTCATCCAAAAATCGCCCCAAGCCTGGCCAGTGTGGCTCCGTGGTTGAGCATCAACCTATGAACCAGGAGGTCGCTGGTTCGATTTCTGGTCAGGGCACATGCCTGGGTTGCGGGCTCCATCCCCAGTAGGGGGCAGCCAATCCATGATTCTGTCTCATCATTGATGTTTCTCTCTCCCCCACTTCCCTCCTTTCTGAAATCAATAAAAACATTAAATTTTTAATATGCCCAAATACTGACGTTGAGAATAGGAGAAAGTTAACCTGACAACACTTCTTCTTTCTTGAAGGACAGCCTCGAGATGCGGGCTCCCCACCCCAGAAGAGACGGAAGACGGAGGATGGAGCTCCGGGAACGGGTAAGGCGTGCTAACTCCGATGGACGGACGGGGTTTACTGCGGCGAGCGCCCTGCTGCTCGGTTACATGCCTAACGGGCATCGGGTCCGTGAGGGCACAGCTATCGCTGGACAGCGTGGCCTCCAATCCGGCCTTGCCGCCGCCTGGCTGTGGTTTAGGGACGTCACTTAATTACAAAAGGGATGAAGGTCCTTAGTATCGGCACTCACTCCTAGCGTTGCCGTGAGGGTTGAAGGAGGTGGTGCGGCTTCGGTGCCTGTCAGGCACAGGTGAGTGCGTGGCAGGGTGTCTGGGATGCTTGGAGCAAAAATCCGGTGTGTGAGCTGCTGCCTCCACTTGGCGTTCCAGTCAGGGTCACGTTCCCATCAGGATCACGTTCCCTGTGACCCCAACAGTGGACACTTGAAAGAAGCTTACTTTCTTCTGAGGTCATTTGTAAACGTAAGACTTTGAAACGCTTTGGAAATTTTCTCTCGCAGAAAGGGAGAAAGTGGAAGAGGTCCCACCTAAACCACAAAGCAATGAAGACCCGGCGCTGGATTACGAAGAGTGGAAAAGGAAGATTCTGGAAAACGCTGCCAGAGCACAGGAGGCTGGGGCGGAGTGAGTGCAGAGTGCTGCCCGAGTGTGCCCGCGCGCCTGCGCCAGCAAAGGTGCCAGTGCCCGGAGTGCTGCTTCCACTTTAAGGACAGGACCTCGGACCGCGCCGTAGCGGCAGGGCACCAGCCCGGGCTGTTCCGGGCAGCAGGCTGGCCCCTGGCGTGGGCAACATTCACCAGATCAGCCGCAGCCCGGTTGGCACGGCCTGGGCCCCGGGCCTCACCCTGCACGTGGAACTGGAGCCGCTTCACTCCACGTCTCCTCTCCTGGCCTAGGAAATTCAGGCCGATGGACTTACAGGTTTTACTTAAGTTTTTGTCTAGTTTCTTGGATGGACTAGATCCATCTAGGTGCAGCCTAAGGTAATAAATACTGTTTGTATGTGTCTTCGCGTTGCCGTTATCATCAGTGGGGGCCCTGCTGCCCCCTGTGGCGGGAAAGAAGCCGGGAGGCGGGACGCTGAGCCGACCCGGCGTCAGGCTGCCTGGGCCCCGCCCGCCTCCGCCGCTCCCCGTGGAACCGTGAACACTCTCGTCTGCTCACTTGGAGGAGCGGAAAGCACTTCGCACAGGGCCTGCTGTGAGGGAGTGTTCAGTAAATACCACACTAGAGAGGCACAGCGCTCTCCCACAATGCAGTGCACACTCCCGCCACACTGAAAAGCCAAATGGACAGGGTTTATTTCCTTTGTTATCCACACCCTGAAAATCATAACCTTATTAGGGTCTACTTTAAACCACAAGGGAAAGGGCCTTTATGAAGATAGGTTGGTTGCTATGGGCTCTCAGTTATCACACATAAAATCAGACATGATTTTAACTAAAATTAAGACCCAGAGGTCTGGCTGGTGTGGCTCAGTGATTGAGTGGTGACCTGTGAACCAGGAGGTCACAGTTTGATTCCCAATCGGGGCACTTTCTCGGGTTGTGGGTTTGATGCCCAGTACAGGAGGCAGCCAATAAATTACTCTTTTTTTCTTTTTCAAACATATTATTGATTTCAGAGAGGGGGAGAGAAATACTAGTAGAAACATCAGTGATGAGAGAGAATCATTGATCGGCTGCCTCCTGCACGCCCCCTTCTGGGGATCGAGTGCGCAACCCAGGCCTGTGCCCTGACCAGTATCAAACCCAGGACCCTTCAGTCCCAGGTGGACACTATCCACTGAGCCAAACCAGCTAGGGCAGATAAATGATTCTCTTCATTGATGTTTCTATCTCTCCCTCTCCCTTCTCTGAAATCAATACATTTGTAGCACATGGTGGTAATTATTTTGATTATGTGGATCGCAGTAGGCACTTGGTTACTTCTTAAACTTGCCTCAAAGCAACGTTGTCCACGTGCCCCCCTAGGGCAGGAATTCTTCAGCTAAGTACACACACCAACCAAGGAGAGAACTAAAAATAATCCAGGAAAATTAAAGCTTCATAAAGGCTTCAGAACATCAGATAAGGGAGGCGAAAATCCATAGTCCCTCTCACGGGTGTGAGCGTCCAGGGGACTCCGGAGAGGAATTGTTCTGGTTAAAAATAACAGCAGCCCAGCCCCTGGCTCAGTGGCTGAGCGTCAACCCAGGAACCCAGAGGTCACAGGTTTGATTCCTGGTCAGAGACATCACATGCCTGGGCTGCAGGCTTGATCCCCACTAGGGGGCGTGCAGGAGGCAGCAGATTGATGTTTATCTGTATCCCTCTCCCTCTCTCAAATCAATAAAAAAAAATATATATTTTTTTTTAATAAAAAGCAAATGGAAGAAAAAAATAAAATTTGGTAGCCAAAAGATTCTCTGTTTGCCCTGTCCGATACAGAAGCCGCTAACGACACGTGGCTATTAAGCACTCAGAATTAGCTCCTACAACTACAGAAAATCCTAGTTTCCTTTTAATTAAATGTCACACAACCTGAGTCTGTTTCCGCAGTGAGTTTTATGAAATCTGAACACACATTCGGTAGGTTGGTGGAAACCCAGCCCAGAGCGGAAATGTGTTTCAGTGTGACCCCTACACCGCCTTGTGGAGACTTAGGAAATAATCTGAAGGACCTCAGGAATCGTCTTTCTGTTGACCACATACCAAGTAACACTTTCGCTGTGTTGTGTTCAGTAAGTCACAGATTCCGTTCAGCGGGTTTTCCCTTTGAAAGGAGCTGTGAGAAATGTCCCCGTTAAGTGTGGCTCGTGTTAAACTTCTGCGAGACTTTGCTGCTGTAGATCCAGGGAACTCACTGCGTTCTTCTGGGGACAAGATTGGGGGCACCGCGAAGAAGCCGAAGGCCCAGGGGCTGAGGCCCATGGACCCACTAGCACTGAAAGGTGTGCTCTAGCGCGCCCTCCGCAGGCTGCCCTCGAAACAACATCTCTCAGGTGACTGCTGCTTCAAAAGCCAGCACTTGGCCAGGTAAGTCCCTGTTCCCTCGTCATGCGAGGCAGGTCTCCTCTTCCGACGGTCACCCCCTGGCCAGCGGGCAGCAGGCCTGGACATGCTGGCCTTGGGAACCTCAGTTCCCGGCCAGACCAGGCCCCTCCCCACCCCCAGGTCTTCTGCCAGAAACAAGTCTATCTGGACAAAAACCCTCAAAGGCTGTGACACTGCTGCTTGGCTAATTAACACCTCACAGCAACGCCTCCAACTGGAACCGCTGACCCGAGAGGTCGTGGGAACAGCACAAATCAGGTTAGATGTGAGGAGGGCAAAGGACTGTTTGCTTTTGACTAAGAGCGTCTCCTGTTTGTCATTCCATAAGTCGGTTAAACGTGTGCCTTCGCTTCTCTCCACCGCGGAACGCGGCTGCACTCTCCTCTCCCACACACTCACCAGTTTCCTGGCCCCCGATTCATACCTGAGGGGTGGGGCAGAGGTCAGCACAGGGCATACCTGAGGGAGACGGCAGAGGTCAGCACAGGGCAGAACAGGAGAGGGGGGAGGTGGGTCGAGGCTTTAAAAGCACATTCCAACCCGCCCCTGTGGCTCCGTGACTGACCATCGACCCATGAACCCAGAGGTCAAAACACATGCCCAGGCCGTGGGCTCAATCCCCTGTAGGGGGCATGCAGGAGGCAGCCAACTGACGCTTCTTTTTATTATTATTTTATTTTATTGTTAGTCCTCACCTGAGGATATTTTTCCACTGATTTTTAGAGAGAGTGGGAGGGAGAGAGACACATCTATTGGTTGCCTCCTGCATGCGGCCCGACCAGGTTGGGACTGAACTTGCAACCAAGGTACATGCCCTTGACCGGAATCGAACCCGAGACCCTCAGTCCAAGGGCTGACGCTCTATCCACTGAGCCAAACCGACTAGGGCCAGCCAATTGATGTTACTCTCTATTCCACTTCCTTCTTCTCTCTCTAAAATCAATAAAAACATTAAGCGCATTCCACTTGACCCTTGTCCTCTTTCAGCCATGACGGCCAGTATATTTCAAAATTTCAAAGACTAGCAAAGGATGCACGTTTCCATTCTCAAAAGGGAGCACAAGTTAAACATGTTAGAGGAGGGCGGCACACAGCGCGGGTCGGTCGGACAACAAATACAGCCTGGCCCGGCCCGGGGATCGGAGCGGCAGGGCTTCCCTGTGCCCAGGGAGACCCGCGGGCCGGGCCACTGAGCGAGCCCCTGAATCAGAGCGCGCTCCGCATCCCACCCGCGCCCCCCAAAGCGGGGGCCCCTGACGAGGAAACACAGCATTTCACACCAGCGGGCTCCCACGGCAGCGAAACAGTCCTGACGTCACCGTCTTCCAGCCACGCGTCACCCACAGGGAAGGCCCGGCCGGAACCTCTCACAAAGTTCCTGGAAGCCGGCTGAGCCCGAGGCCGGTGATCCATGGCCTCCGGGCATCCCCGGGCCCCCGGAGCGGCTCGGCCCAGGGGCAGCGGAGTCCAGTCCAGGGTCAGGGGCAGGTGGGAAATTTCCTTAACCTGTTGGCAGCAGTCACCGCGTGGAAATGTTTCTTGAGACCAGGAGAGAGAAAGAAGAGGAAAGAAGCAGAGCTTTAGACCCGCTGTTTTAAGGAGAACAATAAAAGGACGCAACGCAAGTGAGGCACTTGGGTTCTTTACATCTGATCACCTAAAGGGGAAAACAAGATCCTAGCAAACGGCAAGTCGAACGGTCGCATGACTTCCAGGGGCCAATTGGAGCCAGGGGGACGTGAGATCACGTGTTATCCCCAGAACAGAGCCCACCGGGCATCTCGAAGTCAAAGCGGGTTGCGGACCGGAATTTTTGGAGTGAAACCAAACGTCACAGGAAACAGCAGAGCACTTCAGCCTGGGAAGCAGACGTGATCTCTCGTTTCGGGTGTGAGTACGTGACTAGCTCCTTCTCGGGCTAACGTGCTTTCTTTCTGGTTTTATTTGTTTTTTGTTTCGCTTTTTATGATATTTTTATTGATTTCAGAGAGGAAAGGAGAGGGAAAGAGAGAAACATCAATGATGAGAATCATTGATCAGCTGCCTCCTGCACCTCCCCCCCACCCCCCCACCCACTGGGGACTGAGCCTGCAACCCAGGCCTGTGCCCTGACCGGGAATCGCACCATGACCTCAAACATGTTTTGGTCATAGGTCGACGCTCAACCAGTGAGCCACGCTGGCCGGGCTGTGTGTGCGTGCGTGTGTGCATGTGTGTGTGCGTGTGTGTGTTTAACAAGGCTCTGAGTTGGTATCAAACTGTTGGAAATACACTTTCCTGCACAACAGAGGTTTCTAGGACAGACTTTACGTCCCGGGTACCAAAGCTCTGCTGTAAACAAACCACCAAACTCTGAAACGGGGCTTTCCCGCCGCCATGTGACACGCGGAGGAATCCGGGCCCTCAGCTGCCGTGGTCACTGAGCGCTGTGCTCCGGCCTCATCCTGTCACCCCCAGTGTCCACGGAACACGGACTAAATGCCACTTCTATGCCCGGCACTGGCGTCTGTGGCATTTCTTCACCGAAACGAACAGTTTGGACATAAGAGGGTTGTTGTTGTTGTTTTCATTAAACAATCTTTCTATTTTGAATCAATTTGGGCATGGAGCCCGGCCGGCGTGGCTCAGGGGTTGAGCATTGACCTATGAAGCAGGAGGTCACAGTTCCATTCCCGGTCAGGGCACAGGCCCGGGCTGTGGGCTCCATCCCCAGTGTGGGGCGTGCAGGAGGCAGCCATCAACGATTCTCTCTCATCACTGATGTTTCTATCCCTCTCCCTTTCTCTCTAAAATCAATCAAAATATTTAGAAAGGAAGGAAGGAAGGAAGGAAGGAAGGAAGGAAGGAAGGAAGGAAGGAAGGAAGGAAGGAAGGAAGGAAGGAAGGAAAGGAGAGAGAGAGAGAGGGAAGGAAGGAAGGAAGGAAGGAAGGAAGGAAGGGAGGGAGGGAGGGAGGGGAAGGGAGGGAGGGAGGGAGGAAGGGAGGAAGGGAGGAAGGGAGGAAGGAAGGAAGGAAGGAAGGAAGGAAGGAAGGAAGGAAGGAAGGAAGAAAAGGATGGAGAGGAGGGGCACCTTCCACTTCCGCTGCGCCAGGTACTTCTGCAGCAGCAGCTGGGACCGGAGCCGCACCTGGGAGCGGGACGCCTTGGCGGGCAGGTGGCTCAGCCACGCGTGTTTCAGGCACTGGGTGGCGCTCATCCTGCAGCTGCGGAACCAAGGCCGGCGGTTAGCGGGCGCGGTCGGGTCAGAAGGCCGTGCGCCTGCGCCACTCGCAGTCACGGTACCTCTTCTCTTTGACCAGCAGCTGGGACACGAAGTCCTTGGCGTCCTCCGACAGCCCCTCGAAGGTGTCCGCCTCGAAGTCCCAGCAGCAGTTCACGATGAAGTTCATGGTCTCGGCGTCGGTTTCCCCCAGGAACGGGGACAGGCCGCTGAGTCTGCGAGGACAGAGGGGACCGTGGGGACCGTAGGCGGAGGCCACGTCTGCCCACGCGGCGACGGGACAGACGGTCCTGCGAGGCTCACGCAGAACCAGGGGGAGCCGAGAGGCGCCACAGAGAAACCGCCGGCTCCGGCTCGGAGGGGAGGTCGGGGCGCGGAGGGAGGTCGGGGCGCGGAGGGAGGGCTGGGCCGCGGAGGGGAGGTCGGGGCGCGGAGGGAGGTCGGGGCGCGGAGGGAGGGCTGGGCCGCGGAGGGGAGGTCGGGGCGCGGAGGGAGGTCGGGGCGCGGAGGGAGGGCTGGGCCGCGGAGGGGAGGTCGGGGCGCGGAGGGAGGTCGGGGCGCGGAGGGAGGGCTGGGCCGCGGAGGGGAGGTCGGGGCGCGGAGGGGAGGTCGGGGCCCGGAGGGGAGGTCGGGGCGGAGGGAGGGCTGGGCCACGGGGGCAGCACGTGCGCAGCGACCTGGGCCCTCGCCCTGAGGTGGGGAGTGGCCGGCCCACCCGATGCGCCCATCACCAGGCGCGCCCATCACCAGGCGCGCCCATCACCAGGCGCGCCCATCACCAGGCGCGCCCATCACCAGGCGCGTTCGGTTTAACTGAAGCAGCGCAGCGTCTCTCAGGCCCGGCCGGAGGCTCAGGGCTGAACCCTGACCAGGAACCAGGAGGTCACCGGTTGGATTCCCGGTCAGGCACATGGCCAGTGCAGGGCGTGCAGGAGGCAGCCAAACGATGATGTTTCTCTCTCTCTATCCCTCTCCCTTCCTCTCTCTCTAAAAATGAATAAAAACATATTTGAAAAGAATAAATAGCCCTGGCCGGTGTGGCTCAGGGGATAGAGCATCAGCCTGCAGACTGCAGGGTCCGGGGTTCGACTCCAGTCAAGGGCACAGGCCCAGGTTTCGGGCTCCATCCCCAGTAGGGGGCGTGCAGGAGGCAGCTGATCAATGATTCCCATCATTGATGTCTCTCTCTCTCCCTCTGCCTTCCTCTCTGAAGTCAATAAAAATATTTTTTAAGTAAAAATAATAAAAGTAAATAAATAAAGAGCTTAGCGTGTCTCTGAGGCAGCCAGAGGGGTTCAGATTCTCCCCAGGCCTCGGGAGCAAAGGCAGAGAGGCAGGGCACCCCCAGGGGCCGGCCTGGGGCCTCAAACTTCCCTGCCTGGCCCAGCACACGGTGTGGGGACACGGTCCCAGTCCCGCCGTAATGACAAGGCCGGGGCAAAGCATGGCTTCCTGGGCCAGGAAACGGCGGGGGACGTCCCACAGAGGAGGCTGTGCAGTCTGGGCCCCATCTGCCAGCCCAGCCGCCCCTGCCTGGGAGCACCGGGGAGGGGCGGGTCAGTGGTACAGCCCAGGGTCCCACCCTGCCCACCCCTCACTGCACCCCCGCCCACCTGCACAGTCCACCTGCCTGTCCTTGGGGAGAGCTTTCAACCCAGTGGATCCAGAAGTTCAGGAATTCAGGCCCCTGGGATCAGCCCCCCAGCCATAGCTGCTTACAAGTTGGTGAGCAGCCCTGGTCGGTGTGCTCAGTGGTTAGAGCGTCAGCCCGCACACCGAAGGGTTGCTGGTTCCATTCCCGGCCAAGGGCACATATCTGGGTTACAGGTTCGATTCTGGCCTTGGCCCTGGTCTGGACCAATCAATGTTGTCTCTCTCGCATTGATGTTTCTCTCTCCTTCTCTCTCTCTCCTCCCCTCCCTCCCATTCTCTCTAAAAATCAATGGGAAAAAAATATCCTCGAGTGAGGATTAACAACAACAACAAAAAACCTAAAAAAATAAAGGGTTGGTGAATAATTACCCCGACCCCTGGGTGGAGTAACTCTGAGGACGTGTGTACATCAAGCATGTCAAACTCTCGGCCCGCGGGCCGCATGCCTCGTTTATGTGGCCCCTGTCGGCCTTGGAGTTTGACATGCTTGGTGTACATGACAGATGCCGCCTCAGGGAGTAAAGCGTTGCCCACGGGGGATATGACCCGCTCACTGCGGCCTTCCACCTCGCCTCCCACTTCTCCTGTGTCTCCTGCTCACGCCCCCACTAGCCGACTCACACTCCAACTTGTGCTGCCGGAGGACACCCGCGCTAGGACAGATGCCCCCCCTCCCCGCCCCGCACTCACAGCATGTAGGTGATGACGCCCACACTCCACATGTCCGTGGGGAACGAGACGAACTCGTAGTTGACGACTTCGGGGGCCAGGAACTCGGGCGTGCCGAAGTTCACCTTCAGCTTCTCCCGCGGCTTGTACCTGGGGAGGGGGATCGGCTCAGGTAGGTGCGGAGGCTCGGACTCATCCCGGTGCGGGCCAGGCATGGCCGGACCCCACATGCGCCCACACACGGGGTTTCCTGGGGAATCCTCACTCCCCGGGCCCCAACCTCAGGCTTTGCTGGGTCCCCAGGGAGAACTGGAAACCACAGCCCCCCGCTCTAGGCCTTTGCCAGTGAGAAGGGAGAAGGTGAATATAGCAGGAGCGCAGGCTGGGTGGAGGCTGGGTGGGGGCTGGCTCCGTGCTGGGTGCAAGTGTGGGGCAGGGGGTCTATGGGAAACCTGGTTCTGCCCCTCAATCTTTCTGTGATGTTAAAACTGCTCTAAAAAAATAAAGTGTTGCGGAAACCGGTTTGGCTCAGTGGATAGAGCGTCGGCCTGCGGACTGAAGGGTCCCGGGTTCGATTCCGGTCAAGGGCATGTACCTGGGTTGCTCACATCCCCAGTGGGGGGTGTGCAGGAGGCAGCTGATCGATGTTTCTCTCTCATCGATGTTTCTAACTCTCTCTCTCCCTTTCTCTCTGTAAGAAATCAATAAAATATATTTAAAAAAAAATAAAGTGTCAATTAAAAAAATGTAAAAATCAAAAATTGGCTGAGTTGTGGGTAACCGTGCCCAGTGAGCCAGAAAGAGTCCCAACGGATTCTAAGTGCCAACAGACCCCTTACCTTCTGGCCAGCCCAAAGTCAATGATCTTTATTTGGTGTCCTGTCTGGTTGACACACAGTATGTTCTCCGGCTGGGAGAGAAAGGGACGTCTGCTTAGGGCCAATCACCAGCTAAGAAACTCAGCAGCTCCCCCACTTATTTGTCTAGAGGCCTCAGCTTCCCAGCCTCCCAGGGAAATGAATGGCTCAGGGCAGCCCTACAGGGAGGGAGGAAGGGAGGGAGGGAGGGAGGGAGGGAGGGGGGGAGGGAAGGAAGGAAGGAAGGAAGGAAGGAAGGAAGGAAGGAAGGAAGGAAGGAAGATGGATGAATGATGGATGGATGGATGGATGGATGGGTAGATGGATGGATAGATAGATGGATGGATGATGGATTGATGGATAGATGGGTAGATGGATGGATGATGGATGATGGATGATGGATGATGGATGGATGATGGATGATGGATGGATGATGGATGGATGATGGATGGATGATGGATGATGGATGGATGATGGATGGATGGATAGATGGATGGGATGGATGATGATGGATGATGATGGATGATGATGGATGATGGATGATGGATGATGGATGATGGATGGATGATGGATGGATGATGGATGGATGATGGATGATGGATGATGGATGATGGATGGATGATGGATGGATGATGGATGGATGATGGATGGATGATGATGGATGATGGATGGATGATGGATGATGGATGATGGATGGATGATGGATGATGGATGATGGATGATGGATGGATGATGGATGGATGATGGATGGATGATGGATGGATGATGGATGGATGATGGATGGATGATGGATGATGGATGGATGATGGATGGATGATGGATGGATGATGGATGGATGATGGATGATGGATGGATGATGGATGGATGATGGATGATGATGGATGATGGATGGATGATGGATGGATGATGGATGATGATGGATGATGGATGGATGATGGATGGATGATGGATGGATGATGGATGGATGATGGATGGATGATGGATGGATGATGGATGATGGATGGATGATGATGGATGATGGATGATGGATGGATGATGGATGGATGAGGGATGATGGATGGATGATGGATGATGGATGGATGATGGAGGATTGATGGATGGATGATGGATGGATGGATAGATGGATGGATGATGGATTGATGGATAGATGGGTAGATGGATGGATGATGGATGATGGATGATGGAGATGGATGGATGATGGCTGGATGATGGATGGATGGATGGATGATTGGATGGATGAATGGATGGATGATGATGGATGGATAGATGGATGGATGATGGATGATGGGTAGATGGGTAGATGGACGGATGATGGATGATGGATGATGGATGGATGATGGATGATGGATGGATGATGGATGGATGATGGATGGATGATGGATGATGGATGGATGATGGATGGATGATGGATGGATGATGGATGATGGATGGATGGATGGATGATGGATGATGGATGAGATGGATGATGGATGGATGATGGATGGATGATGATGGATGATGGATGGATGATGGATGGATGGATAGATGGATGGATGGATGGATGGATGATGGATGGATGGATGATGGATGATGGATGGATGATGGATGATGGATGATGGATGGATGGATGGATGGATGATGGATGGATGGATGATGGATGATGGATGGATGGATGATGGATGGATGATAGAACTAGGAATGAAAGCCAGGAATGAAAGCTCTCAGAGCCGAGGGAGCAGCAGAGACGTGGGACCCCGGGGCCTGCCCGCCACGCCCAGGTGGAGCCTGACCTTGAGGTCCAGGTGCAGGATGTAGTGCTGATGGAGGTAGTGCACACCCTCACAGATCTGCTTGGTGAACAAGATCACGTCCAGTTCAGTCAGGTGGTACTTCTCATCCGTGATCCGGTCAAAGAGTTCTCCCCCGTCCACACTGCCAGGGCAAAGGGAGAGGCAGGCACCGGACTAAGTGAGGCTCTCAGAGACCTCACCTGCCCTCAGCACCAACCCAGGAGTGAGCCCGAGGGTGCCGCTGTCATCTGGGGTCTCATGGGGACCTCTGCTCTGGCCCCGCCCCAGCCCAGGGTGCAGGTGTAAAAGGAAGTGGCGGCCACGGGGGAGCTGGGTTTCCTCAGTGTGGACAATCGGGCTCACGTCGGATGCCGCAGGCCAAGGCTGTAACCGCATCTGCCTACGGGGGCCCATTAGTGTCTATAAGGGAGAACCCCAAATGGGCACATCAGCCCCCTTTCCAGCCGGAGGCACAGGCCCAGCAACACCAGATCTGCAAGAACAGCCAGAGCCCTGGCCCGTGTGCTCAGGTGGTTGGGCACTGTCCCTTGCACCAAAGGTCGCAGGTTCGATTCCTGGTCAGGGCACATGCTTGGGTTTCGGGCTCCACCCCCAGTAAGGAGTGTGCAGGAGGCAGCTGATCGATGTCTCTCACGTCGATGTTTCTCTCCCTCTCTCTCCAAAATCAATTTTCAAAAAATATTTTTAAAAGAAAAGCCGTACACCTAGGTTTTAGTGTGAATTTCCCGATTTCCAACTGCTACCAACCAAATCAAAATCACTAAAACTTGTGCCGGCCAAACTGACCTACCCCGCGGGTCAAGTCCGGCTCACGGCCACTGCTTTGTGACAAATGGCCTTGTCCTCCACGCTCCAGGCTGGAGGCCCAGCAGAGGAGGTGACGACGTGTCTGGGTGTACCAGGCGGGGGAGCGGGGGGGTGGGGGGGGCAACGTTGCCCAGCTCCAGGCCCAGCGCCGAGCCGGCTGGCAGCGCCGCCGCGGACACTCACCACTCCATGACCAGCGTGCAGCTCTGCTTGCTCTCGAAGGCGTCGTAGAGCTGGATCAGGTTCACGTGGCTCAGCTGGTTCATGATGGCGACCTCGTTCTTCACATCCTCCTTAGGGAGCCGGAGCGGAGGGGAGTTTCCAAAATCAGGTCAGGAAGAGGGGCCCGTGGCACCTCCCAGGACTCACACATGGGCACACGTGCCCCCCACACCCTGTTTCCGGCTCTCACAACAGGCCTCCTCGACTCACCACCCAAACCGGGTGCTTACAATAGGAGGGGCCTTTGTCAGACCCGCCCATTTCACAGATAGGGAGCCTGAGGCCCAGGAAGGAAAGCCGGGAGTCAAGGTGACCCGCAAACTGGGGCGTGGGAGTCGTGGAAAAGAGGCAGAGCCCATCCACAGGGGCCCAGTGGTTGAGCATCAACCTAGGAACCAGGAAGTCAGGGTTTGACTCCTGGCCAAGGGCACAGGTCTGGGTTATGGGCTCCATCCCCAGTGGGGGGCGTGCAGGAGGCAGCCGATCCATGATTCTCATCATTGATGTTTCTTTCCCTCCCTCTCCCTTCCTCTCTGAAGTCAATAAAAGCATATTGCGGGGGGTGGGGGTGGGAAGGGCAAAGGAGGCAGGAAAGGGGAGGGTTTCCTGCTCAGCACGGAGGGTCTGGGCAGCTGGGGCCCAGGGGCCGAGAAGGACGTGCTGAGCCCTGAGCCTGATCAGAGGCCGCTGGCAGGGCGGCCGCTCACCCGATCCTTGTTGCTCTTCACTTTGATGACCTTGGCCGCCAGCGCCAGGCCCGTGGACCTCTCCGTGCACCTGTGGACCTGGCCGAACCGGCCCCTGCAGACGACACAGGGGCTGAGCGCCCAGGAGGCGGGCCCTGCTTTCGGTCCCACCCTCCCCCACACACGCCCAGGGGGACCCGTGTCATCACACCCGCTCCACATGGGCTCCCTAAAACCTAGACCAAAACTGCTTCACCCCGCACCCCCAGGCCGCGCTGCACCCCAGGGAGCACCCTCTCCCACACCACCAGCCAGCTTCACTGGAGGACTCCCTCTCACCCCCCGCCCCCCCCCCCCCCGTCCCCTGTCATGCGGCCCTCCTGTCCCCTCCAGGCACAGTCCCCCTCTCCGTCCTGCGCTCCAGGGGTCCTCCTCACCCCGCCCTGGGGACTGTCCACCCACAGCCCGGCACAGCCCACCCAGCCCCTGAGACCCACCCGCCGGCTCTGAGGTGTCGCTGCCCCCCTCCTGCGCCCGCCCGCCCGCCCGCCCGCCATCACCTACCCGCCCAGGACCTGGTGCTGGCACACGGCATAGCCCGCCGCGGCCGAGGCCTCCTTCAAGCTCACCACCCGGTGCTCGAACGGGGCCGGCGGGGCCGGGCTGTCATCTGTTCGGGAGGCAGCAGCCTGTGAGCCCCAGGCCCCTCGAGCTGTGCACCAGCCCCAGACCCAGCAGGCCGCCCCCCAGACCCGCGTGACCTCCCCGGGGCGCCGAGGGAGGCCACACACCCCCCCCAGGAGGCGCTCCACGCCCAGGCACTCGGGGCACCTGCCGGGCTTACCCAGAACCAGGCCGCCAGCCTCGGCACCGCCCAGGCCCCCGGGGGCGCAGTCCCTCCCGGGCTCCGGGTCCCCCGCTCCTGGGCCCGGGGCCCCGCTCGGTGCCAGGGCGGCTCCGGCTGCCGATCCCGGCTGGTCCGCGGCCTCTGCTCCCCCGTCGCCGCTCCGCGCTGGCAGCGGGGGCCACACGCTGGCTCCTTCCGGGCTCGGCTCCCCTGACTCGGGCCCCGGGGCCTGGGGCCCGTCCCCGTGCACAGGCGGGTCCCGCTCCCCGGGCTGGGCAGCGGCGGGGGCCTCCGCGGGGGGCGCGGCACCGAGGCTGCCCCCTGGCCTCTCCCGCAGCTGCCCGGGCCTGTCCGTCTCCTGCACGTGGACCGAGAGCCTGGGGGGTGGGGGGGGGATACAGCCCTGAGGGCCACACACTGCCGTCCCCATGGTCACCCCGCCCAGGGCACAGGGCGACTCAGGCGCTGCCGGGCAGCCACGCGCCTCGACGCCACGGCCGGGTCCCACCCCGTGCACACTGGCCGGGAGCCTCCACAGGACAGCCACTGCCAGCCAGCCCCACCCCAGGGCTCGCTCCCCCCTCCGCGCCCCCTCCGCACCTGCTCCAGCAGCTCCCTCACCTGGGATGCGTATCCTCGCCTTGGGGAGCTGTGGTGGCCCCGGCAGGTGGGCCTGAGGTCGGCGTCACGCCCTCCTCTGCGGGCACAGTGTCAGCCCCACTGGACGGTGACCCTTGTTCTGCGCCTGGTGCCGCCGCCTGGCTGGTTTCGGGGGTCTCGCTGGACGCCCCGGGAGCGGCGGCGTCTGCCTCTGTGGGCGGCAGCAGGTCTGGGCTGGGGACCCCGCCTCCCTGCTCGGGCCGGGCCTCGGGCTGGGCCAGGACGTCGGATCCCATCCCCGAAGCGCCGACCGCGGGCAGCCTCGCCGCTGTGCCCTCCGGCAGGTCAGCCTGCTGGCTCTCTACGGGGACGGGTGAGAAAGCAGCCCCGTGGGGAGTCTGTCCCACAGACAAGACGGAGGCCTGCCTGCGCAGCCACGGGGCCTCCGGGGCCTGAGGGTGAGACAGCCAGGTGTGCGGTGTGACTGTTTATCTAGGATGTGTGTGCTGTGCGTGTGTGCGTGCGTACATGTGTGTGCGTGCGTGTGCTGTGCATGTGTGCGTGTGCGTGCGTGCATGTTTGCAGTGCGCGCGTGTGTGCTTGTGTGCGGTGCGTGTGTGTGTGTGTGTGTGTGTGCGTGTGCGTGCGTACATGTGCATGTGCGTGGGTGTAACCACTTACAATGTGGCCTAAAGAGACCAGACCCCCGGGGAAAGGTAAGACACACACTTTGTAGAAACGGCCACATGTGGGGGCAGGAAGCCAGACAAGCTTGACTCCTCTTTGTACCTGTTTTGTCCATTGGACTTTGGAACCATGTAAATATTATGCAAAAATATAAAAGGAAATAAATTAATAAAAGCAGCCCATAAAAAGCTAGAGTAACGTGGAAACATGAACCTGGGCATCAAGTTGGTGGCACAGGCCACGAGAGAGGCACTTTCCAGGTGACTTTACAACAGCGACTGGCTGTCCGTCTCACGAGGACACGTGAAGGACAGAAAGAACTGGGGAGCCCGGCCAGCGGGGCTCAGGGGTTGAGCGTCGACCTATGACCCAGGAGGTCAGGGTTCAATTCCCGGTCAGGGCACAGGCCCGGGTTTCGGGATCCATCCCCAGTGGGGGCGGTGCAGGAGGCAGCCGATCCATGATTCTCTCTCATCATTGATGTTTCTCTCTCTCTATATATATATTTTTAAATATACTTTATTGATTTTTTACAGAGAGGAAGGAAGAGGGATAGAGAGTCAGAAACACCAATGAGAGAGAAACATCGATCAGCCGCCTGCCGCACACTCCCCACTGGGGACGTGCCCACAACCAAGGCACATGCCCTTGTCCGGAATCGAACCTGGGATCCCCGAGTCCGCAGGCCGACGCTCCATCCACTGAGCCACACCGGCCAGGGCTCTATATTTTTTTTTTATTTAAAAACTAAAATAAACAACTGGGGGGCCTCCTGGCAGGTGCTCGGGGGTTTGGGGACCCCCATGCCGGTGAAGGTGTGAGTCTGAAGCTGCAGGTGTGGGGCCAGGAGGCGGCGGCGGGCGCACTCACCTTCCCGAGGCCCCCGGAGCTCGGCCTGCACGCCCCGGCTGCTCAGCGCGAGCTGCGGCTTGGCTCCCTCCGCCTCCTCTCTGTCTTTGTCCTGAAAGAACAACCACGAACACTGTCATCCTCGCCAGCCTCGGGCCACAGACAGGCGCTGCGCACCCGCCACGCCGGAGCCACGAGCACGCGCGCCGTCCCAGCCACACCCGGGGGGACGCTGCTTCGCCGCTTCAGACAGAGGAGCTCAGGCATCCTCAGGGCCCTTCTTTTAAAAAAGGATATTTTTATCAATTTCAGAGAGGACGGGAGAGGAAGACAGAAACATCAATGATGAGCGAGACTCATCGACCGGCTGCCTCCTGCACGCCCCCCACGGGAGATGGAGCCCGCACCCCGGGCCTGTGCCCTGACCAGGAATGGAACCGTGACTCCTGGGTCATAGGTCAACACTCAACCACTGAGCCACCCAGTCGGGCCTAGGTCCCCTTATACATGAGTCGCTGTCAGGGCAGGCCCATCCCTGACAGGATGACACAGAGTGGACCTCACGATGCTCAGAGCAGGGATGGAAAAGAAGTTTAATTTCAAAATGTCAGCTCTGATCAGTCGCTCACGGCTAGTGGTGTTGGTTTGGGCTGGATCCTAAGTCAACTGAACCCATGCTTGCAGGGGGCTGCCTTGACGGGAGAATACGCCTGCCTGGGAGCCGGGCGGGTGGCCCCCCTCTCCGGTACAGCAGTGTGGCCAGGGGCACGGACTCATGGACTCGCGAGCACCCCCTTCACCACTCGGCCGAGATCCCTAACCTCTCTGCACCTCGCTTTCCTCATCTGTGGAATGGGGAGAATATTAGCTACTCACAGAGGTCAGTTCGCAGGAGGCTGGGGGGAGGCCATTTGTGGGACACACTGAGGGGGGTGCCCAGCACAGGGTACGTGCGCAGCGCCCTGGTGGTGGTGTCCTGCCTGAGCCACAGAGCAGTCTGGGCCCCAGGAGCCCGGCCGGTGAGGACACCGGGAGCCCGGCCGGTAAGGACACCGGGAGCCCAGCGCCAGCAGCGCGGCCTTACCTCTGAACAGCCCGCAGGAGCCCGCACCTGGAGTGTGGTCAGCAATTAATTGAAAAATGTGCCCGCCCGGCGTGGCTCAGTGGTCGACCCAGGAACCAGGAGGTCACGGTTCGATTCCCGGTCAGGGCACAGGCCCGGGTTGCGGGCTCCATCCCCAGTGTGGGGCGTGCAGGAGGCGGCTGATCCGTGATTCTCTCTCATCATGGATGTTTCTCTCTCCCTCCCTCTCCCTGCCTCTCTGAAATCGATTTAAAAAACTCTAGCTGCTGTCCTCGGGGTCACCACCAGCATCATCACTGTGACCCGGGAGACTGTCCTGCCAGCGCCGCCGCCGGGGAGGGGGGGGGGGCGGGGGGGGGCGCGCTGGAGGCCTTATCGCAGGCGCCTCCTGGCGTCCCCCCGGGAGACGGGGACTTGGACAGACTGTCCTTTGGCAGACCTGGCTGGCTCAGATTGTGCTCTCCCTCCCTGTCTGTGGTGCAGGCAGGCGCGCACGCACGCACACACACACGCACACATGCACACGCGTACACATGCACACGTAGGTTTTGTCTTCAGGGCTCAGCTTTCTGGCCCTGCCTTGTGCGGTGCGGCAGAGAGAGAGGCCCAGCACCGGCCAGAGGCCTGGCATCGCTGAATGGCTCCGGCAGGACGAGGCCCCGCCCCCGCTGAGCTGGCCCTGTCTGAGCCCCCGCATCCCATGTGGCCCAAGGAGGACCCGGGCGAAGTCATGGCCCGAGTTTAAAATTTAACAGTTGGCCCCGCAGGTGTGGCTCCGTGATTGAGCATTGACCTATGAACCAGGAGGTCACGGTTCGATTCTGGTCAGGGCCCAGGCCCGGGTTGCGGGCTCCATCCCCAGTGGGGGGCGTGCAGGAGGCAGCCGGTCCATGATTCTCTCTCATCATGGATGTTTCTCTCTCTCCCTCTCTGTTCCTCTCTGAAATCATTAAAAACCTATTTTAAAAATAAATAAATAACATGAAGAACTGCACAGATGAATACTACGCCCCTACTCTCTTCAGACACACAGATCAGATCCCTGGAACGTCTCCGTCCTGCAGCAGTTTTCAGCCAACAAAGCGTTCACGGGCTGGGGCCGGGTCTCGGCGCACGCCCGTCTCCTGTCCCCCGGCACCTCCGCGTGACCAGCCCTGGCACAGGGTACGGAGGGGCGTGGACGACCGGCTGGGAGAGCAGCCCAGCCCTGCTGTAGCCACCGGATGTGTGTGACACACAAGGACAGACGGGCGGCCGGTCAGAGCCGAGCAGACGAGACGCGTGAGGACTCGGGGAGGAGAAAGCTCCTGCCCTCCCCCGCCCGGAAACGCCTGCGCGCCCGCGGCTCCAACAGAATAACCAGAGGACGGCCAGGCGGGAAAGGGGAGGACGGAGCAGCCGCTCAGGACAGTGCGAAGGCCCCCAGTCCGGAGGATGCGCGACCGCCTGGCACAGAAACGCGGGTGAGAACTGCCGTGAGGTACAGGCTTCCGCCCGTTTCGGTTGTTGGACGTGTTCCCTCGTGAAGAGTTTTCATTTCTTCGTGAATTAAAGACAAAATGCTGGTCTATGAAGCATATAGCCCATCGCCTGATTTGGAGCTTGACTCAAACTGTAAGGAAAGAAGAGCCTGAGACGGGCTGGGCTGCGTGGAAGGGTGGAGGGACTGGGAAGGACAGGCGGGCAGGCACCCAGAGTCCCGGGATGTAAGCACAGCCCAGGGAACAGTCAGTGAGGCTGTAGTGACGATGTGGGAACTAGGATGCAGGTGGGTACCAGACGCGTCAGGGGGATCAATTCGTAAGTTCTACAAATGTCTACCCACTATGCTTTGCACCCGAAATTAACATAAAATAATACTGAATGTAAGCTGTACTTGAAAAACAAAATAAAATTTAAAAAAAGAGCAGCCCAGCCGGCGGGGCTCAGTGGGTGAGCGTCGACCTAGGAACCAGGAGGTCAGGGATCGATTCCTGATCAGGGCACAGGCCCAAGTTACGGGCTCGATCCTCACTGTGGGGTGTGCAGGAGGCAGCGATCCATGATTCTCTCTCTCACTTGCACTTCTTTTCCAGAAAGAGATGTTTCTATGTCTTTCTCCCTCTCCCTTCCTCTCTGAAATCAATTTTAAAAATATTTTTAAGAAGAGCATAAGATGGCCAAGAAAATGTGAACGCTGTGATGACATTAACATTGGTGATATTACGTTACTTCTTAGGTCTGATAACAAGCAACAGAATCCTTCTCTTTTGGATAAAAAAATATTGAAATGTTTATAGAAGAAACAATCCAATACATCAAAGTTGCTTCAAAATACTGGAAAGAGGAAGGCGGGGGGGACCGCTGGCCTCTAGTCATGGGTCTCACTGAGGTCATTCTCATCTCTATTTTATAAATGCCTGACATGATTAACACTAACACGTTAAAACACATGCACGCACACACATGCACACGCACACGCACACTGTGATTCCGTTTTCGTTCACCCAACGAGCCGTGAGCTCCGTGAGCAGCGCGCGCGCCCCTGTGTCATGGCAGCCCCTACATCAGAACCCTCCTCTGAAGTCGGCGTGGCTTTGCGGTTCCACAAAGTCACCCTGTGTCTTAGCATCGCCACTTCCAGGAGGTGCGTCCGACAGACAGACTCACGCCTGGATGGACAGTCACGGCACCATTTTCCCAACAACCAGGAAGGAGGGGCAGGGTGAGCAGCAACGGGGTGGCCGAGTGAATCACGCCCGTAGACGGAGACAGCCCCCCACCCACGGAGCCACTGCAACCCAACGGACAAAGGCGAGGGAGCTCTCCGGGGTTAATGTGAAACGATGCCCCCCCCCCCCCCATGAAGTAAAAAACTACCAAGGCAGCACAGGTGGGTAATGACTGAGTTAGAACAAAGCCACGGGGTGGGGTGCCCCCCAGGAGCTTACAGATAGCAGGCTATTTCTGGAAGGCACTGCAGGAAGCCGGCACCTCTGGTGGGGGCAGGGCTCGTCCTGGGCCTGGGGGACGGGGCGGGAGGGGGACTGCTCTCCACAGCCCAGGGATGGTTTGCCCCTGTGCGCGTCTTAGATGAATTCTCATTTAGCGCTGAGGTTGGTCCCTGGCTGGGGGCTCAGGGGCCGAGTGTCGACCTAGGAACCAGGAGGTCACAGTTCAATTCCCGGTCAGGGCACCTGCCCAGGTTGTGGGCTCGATCCCCAGTGTCGGGCGTGCAGGAGGCAGCCCATCGATGATTCTTATCATTGCTGTTTCTTTCTCCCTCCCTCTCACTTCCTCTCTGAAATCAATAAAACATATTTTAAACTAAAATAAAATAAAGCTGAGGGTGGTTATCAGTGGCGAGAGCAGGCCACACTCCCCTGCGGGCCGGACTCACAGGGCTGGTGCCGAGAGGAGGGGGCTGGGGTGGAGGCGGCGCTGGGGAAAGGGGCGCAGAGGGGAGGGTCAGCTGGGACAGCCCCCGCCAGGCTGGGGGTGAGGAAGGGAGGCGAGCTCCTGAGACCCCAGCTCCTCTGTTGCCAGAGGCTGGAGGGCACCAGCAGGGATCCGAGGCGGGGCTCCAGGCCCCGGAGTGTTGCTAAGCAGCTGCCCCTCTGCTGTTCCCAAACACAGCGTTGCCTGTACACACCTCGCACGGGCGCGGGCGCGCGCACACACACACACACACACACACACGCACACCCCAGCCAAACTTCCATGACCCAGGCTCGATTACGCAACCTTGGGAAGTGGGGCCCCCAGAGATGCCACCCTCCACCCCCAGGCTCCGGCTCCTGCCCGCCCGGCCTGTGTGCCCCTGGGTCCCTGTCAACACCTCCGGCAGGCAGCTGCACTCTCGCCCACACGGGGACAGGGCACAAGGTTGCGGACAGGAAGGGAGGGGGCTGGGTTTCTGAATGGGGCCCTGTCGGGGTAGACGGGCCGCTCCCCACCGGCCACCCACGGGGGACACAGAGGAGCAAAGAGGTCATGGCGTGGGAGGGAGCTTCGAGGTCCCGCGCTCCCTCGGGGCCTGTGTCCCCTGGAGCTGCCCACTGCCCACAGCTTACCCCCGCCCCCCGTCTGAATCCGCCTATGACCTTCACGGCTCTGCTCCCCTTTTCCTCATCAACTGGTCCCACAGGAGGCACAAGAGGGGAGAAGAGGCCTGGCCGGTGTGGCTCAGTGGCTGAGCGTTGACCTATGACCCAGGAGGTCACGGTGCGATTCTGGTCAGGGCACAGGCCCGGGTTGCAGGCTCGATCCCCAGTGGGGGGCCTGCAGGAGGCAGCCGATCCATGATTCTCATCATTGATGTTCCTCTCTCTCTCTTTCTCTCTCCCCCTTGCTCTCTGACATCAATAAGAATATATTAAAAGAAGAAGGAGGAGGAGGAGGAGGAGGAGGAGGAGAAGAGACAAAAGCCCCCGGCTCTCCTAAGAGTAGCCACCTGGCCAGCCTCCCCACCAGCCCTGCGCGGCCCCTCCAGCCAGGACCCGGGGCAGGGACGCGGTCACCAACCTCGGCGGGGCCTGGGGCCGGGCGCCCTCGCCTCCAGGGGGCGCTGCCTTGCAGGATGAAGTCCACCACCTTGGAATTCTGGAACACGGCCCCCACCAAGGCGAGGGCCCTGTCCACGGCCACCACCACCCGGAACAAGGACTCGAGTCGGGCGCCATGCTGGGCCGCATCCTGCCGCACGGCCCGCACCAGGTCCAGGACCTCGGGCCACCCGGCCTGCGCGTCCCCAGGAGGGGCAGGGTCCCCCGGCGGGGTGGGGCCAGCCCCCATGGGGTCCGGGGCCCGGGAGGCCTCCAGCCGGTGCAGGCCCTGCTCCAGGTGGTCCAGGCCTCGGCACACGCCCTGCAGCTTCTCCGTGACGTCTTCCTGGAAGTGCAGGAGCTTGTCCACCTTCTCGTTGAGCGCGCTCAGCTTCCGGTCCAGGCTGGACAAGCAGGCCTTGCCCGCGGCCGGCAGCCCCCGGGCCCCCACGCCCTCTTTGGAGGCCCCCGACATCCCGGCGCAGGCTGGACGGGGCGAGCAGGGGGGCGCACGCAGGGCCCGGCCTCACTGGGACGGTGGCGTCTGCAAGGTCATGGTTCCGGGCGCTAACAGCTGCCTCCGTGCCCAGTGCCCGCACAGCGATCCCCGGTCGGTCACGCAGCCGGGACCTGCGGGCTCTCTTTGAGCCCTCGCTTATCTCCCACTCTGCCGGGAGGGAGGCGGGTCTGGCCCAGGCCCCGCTCCTGGGGCCCCTCTGACATCACGGCAGCACTGAACATTCCTCCCTGAGAGGGTGCTGATGGGCAGACAGCTGAAGAATCTGCCCATGGCAGGAGGGAGCTCCTGTGGCTACAACCGAAGGTTAGAGGGCGGGGGTCCTTCCTCTGGACTCCCAGAGGGGCCTCAGGGATCCCAGGGCTGTGGGGTCCCGCCCGCCACACACACACACACATTCACAATGAAAAGCAAGACTGAGAACAAAGGCGAGGCCGCCCTGACGTGTGCCGAGTGAAACAGGCGAAGCTTCTGCAAATTAAACACAAAACCTGGGCCCTGGCCGGGTAGCTCAGTAGGTGAGAGCATTGTCCCGATACGCCAAGGCTGCGGGTTCGATCCCGGGTGAGGGCACACACAAGAATCAACCAATGACCCGGCTGGTGTGGCTCAGTGGTTGAGCATTGACCAATGAACTAGGGGGTCACGGTTCAATTCCCGGTCAGGGCACATGCCCGGGTTGCGGGCTCCATCTCCAGTGTGGAGCATGTAGGAAGCAGCCGACCCATGACTCTCTCTCATCATTGATGTTTCTATATCTCCCTCTCCCTTCTTCTCTGAAATCAATTGAAAATAATAATAAAAAAATTAAAATAAGCCAAAACCGGTTTGGCTCAGTGGATAGAGCGTCGGCCTGCGGACTGAAAGGTCCCAGGTTCGATTCCGGTCAAGGGCATGTACCTGGGTTGCGGGCACATCCCCAGTAGGGGGTGTGCAGGAGGCAGCTGATCGATGTTTCTCTCTCATCGATGTTTCTAACTCTCTATCCCTCTCCCTTCCTCTCTGTAAAAAATCAATAAAATATATTTTTTAAAAAATTAAAATAAAAAAAGAATCAACCAGTGAATGCATCGATCAGTGGCACAGCAAACGCTGGTCCTCTCTCCCTCCCCCTCTCTCTCTAAAATAAAAAAATTGATTAATGAAGACACGTCGGCGCTCCTGCTTCGCAGATGTCCCCACAGGAGTGTCAGGCTGCCTGTGGGTGAGTCCCCACACCAGGCCCTCCGGCACTCGGCACTTGCATCTAAAAATAGAAGTGAGGCCCAACGGCCCGGCTGTCCTCGCCAAGCGCTCTCTTCCGCCCAGACCCTCAGGGGCACATTTGCCAGCGAGACCTGCTCCCCGGAGAGCGACTCCCCTGAAACCGAGGAGGGTCAGGCCCCAGTGACCCAGAAGCCCGGTTCCCTGTGGTCTCCAAGCGTCTGGGCCTCACGGCCCTTGTTTCCAGTGGAACTTGGACGGAGCGGCATTCCATGAAGCCAACGAAAGCAAATGCTCAAGTCGACCTCAGGTGGGGACGCGGGGGGTGCCACCGAGTCCCCAGGCCGCTGGGGAGCCGCTCACCTTCTCCGCTTCCTTCCAGGCCCTCAGAGGGAGAGAGGGAGACCAGAGGGATTGGGCCCCAGGCTCTCGGCCGCCCCAGGAGAGCCCGGCTGGGGTCTCGGGTGAGCACGGGCAGCCGATCCACTCCTGAAAACCACGGGCTGACCTCGGTTTGCCGTGGGCGGCGTCAGCCCCCACTGAATCCCAAGACTCTTCGCTGGCCTGTCTGGTGACAGCCAGCTTTCCCGGAGCCCCCAGGTGGAGGAAGAGGGAAACAGAAATACAAGGTTGAGGGGTTCCTTCCAGAGCGGCGGCCCCCACTCCCCAACCTGGGTGTGGCGAGGAGGACCCCACCGTCCCTGGGGGTCAGAGGACTGTGTCAGGGAGGACGCGCTGGCTCTGCGGGTCCGTCTGATCATCCCCAGCCGAGCCAAGCAGTCAGCAACTGCACCCCCACCGCCTTCATGCAGCTCTCGCACACGGGGTAACGGCCGTCTCCACAGAATGAGAGGGAAAGTCCCGGTCAGAGCACTGATGGCGGCATGACAGCAGGCCTCCCCTCTGACAGCAGCTGGGCCCTGGCAGGCAGGTTAGATGCAAAGTTTAAGCCCTGGCCGGTGTTGCTCAGTGGGTAGAGCACCGGCCCTCGGACCGAAGGGTTCTGGGTCTGCGTCTCGCCATGTACCTCGGTGGCAGGTTCCCCGGCCCTGGTCGGGGTGAGTGCAGGGGGCAACCAATCGATGTGTTTCACATCGATGTTTCTTTCTGTCTCTCCCCCTGCCTTCCACTCTCTCTAAAAATCAATGGAAAATTAACAAAAAAATATAAGGAGGATTAACAAAAAAATATGAAGAAATAAGAAATCAATCCAATAACATAGAAGCACGTCCCCTTCGGGTCCGGCAGACACTGTCCCGCGGTCGGAGCACAGAGCGAAGAAGAGCTTCACGGTGCGAAGGTGGGAAAGGAAGCAGCCACCCAGGTCCCCTCCCTGCAGGCACCTGCCCACCCAGGCCCCCTCCCTGCAGGCCCCTGCCCGCCCAGGCCCCCTCCCTGCAGGCACCTGCCCACCCAGGCCCCCTCCCTGCAGGCACCTGCCCACCCAGGCCCCCTCCCTGCAGGCACCAGCCCAGGCCCCCTCCCTGCAGGCACCCGCCCAGGCCCCCTCCCTGCAGGCACCAGCCCAGGCCCCCTCCCTGCAGGCCCCTGCCCGCCCAGGCCCCCTCCCTGCAGGCCCCTGCCCGCCCAGGCCCCCTCCCTGCAGGCACCTGCCCACCCAGGCCCCCTCCCTGCAGGCCCCTGCCCGCCCAGGCCCCCTCCCTGCAGGCCCCTGCCCGCCCAGGCCCCCTCCCTGCAGGCCCCTGCCCGCCCAGGCCCCCTCCCTGCAGGCCCCCTTAGCTGAGACGCATGTGGATGGAGGAAAGGACCCCAGAGGTGACCAGAGCCCCAGCCAGCCTTGCAGGGTCCTGACCAAACAACGCGGGGCAGCTCCCCCCGCCTGGTCTGCCATGACCTCCTTCAGGTGACCAACCCGGCCTGGACCCTGCGGGAGGCCCCAAGTCTGGGGACCAGCTGTCGCCATAACAATTGCTCCCCGGCTCCCACTTGAAAGCAGCCTGGCCAGGGGCTGTCTTACCGCAAATATCTGGGTGTAACCTGACGCCCGCGGGTGGCCCCTGGCGCCCGGGCCGAGCAGTGCCGGAGACGGGCACAGAGTCCTCATCCTGCCGCGGGCGCGGGGCTCTGCCAGCTCCGTGTTTACTCCCCTGGAGATGCCCGGCCACCCGCCCGCGGGGAGTGGGGGAGTGGGGTGGGCTGGCCGGCAGGGACACCTCTCCAGAACTCAGGCAGCCGATAAGCCTGGCATTTCCGCTTATCTGACCCTGCCCCGGCCCCAAGGCGCCCGCGGCACTGGTTATCAGCTCTGCTGGCTGTCCTCCCCCTGGGGGCTACTTCCTGCGCCACTTAGCGGAGCGTCCCGCTGGGAAACAAACACCATGTGGTCCAGGAGGGGAAGAGGGGGAGCCTGAGGGCCCAGCTGACCTGAGTTCAGACCCCAGAGGCCTGGTGCGGGCCTGGGACGTGCTGGGAATCGCTGCTGCAGGGGGACCTGGGGCAGGGGGAGGCCTGACCAGCAACACAGTGGGGGGCGAGGGAGGAAGCTTTTCCGCATGGGGGCTGCTTGCACCCAGCCTGGGAGCCTAGTCACAGGGATTTTTTAAAAATCTATTTTTATTGATTTCCGAGAGGAAGGGAGAGGGAGAGATAGAAACATCAGTGATGAGAGAGAATCATGGACCGGCTGCCGCCTGCACGCCCCCTACCGGGGACCGAGCCCTGACTGGGAACTGAACTGTGACCTCCTGGTTCATAGGTTGACGCTCTGCCACTGAGCCACGCCGGCCAGGCAAGAGTTCTTGACGTCACATCTGAAGAACGGCTGGTGGGCCCTGCGGTCTGGGAGAGGACGGGGCTGAGCTGGGTAGCGAAGAGCCGGGAGCAGGGTCTGGGTCGGGAGGGGTGCGAGAGCGAGGGGAGAAGGGGTTTGCAGCCCGGCTGTGCGGGACGGAACGGCCACGGGAGCGGGAGGAGGAGCGGCATCCCGGCGGGGCGTCCAGGCGCCAGCACTTTGCAGACACCCAGTCACAGGTGACAGCTCGTTCAGGGTGTGGAGGGAGGTTGAGACATTGGAAAACCTTTGGGCAAAGAGGGAGGACTTCCTGGAGGAAGTGGGACTTGAGCTGAGCCTGCAGGCGGGGTGTGCTGTGGGGAAGCCACGGCAAGGGCAGTTGTACAAGGACACAGGGAGCCAAGCCCCCCATGGAGCCCGGCAGAGACGGGCCTCAGGTCGCTGCAGGCCCAGTGGCCCAGCAGGCAGGACCCACAGAGAGAGGACTGGGAACTCCAGGCAGAGACCTGCGGACCCAAAGCAGCAGGAGAAGGGGACGGAAACCCCACAGAAGGTCCTGAAGTGGGGAGTGAGAGGATGCAGCTCGCATTTGAGATGGAGGAAGTGATGCCTGGGGTGAAGGGCACTGACCTGGAGGGTCACAGAGTCCCCTTGGGAGGCTGGAGGCGTGCCCTGCCCCGGGGGGTGCACGCACCTCTGCGGTGCTGGACTCAGCAGCTGCTCAGTCGGTGCACTGCAATGCACATCAGTTATGCCTCAACCAGGGTGTTGGCATGAAGAACAGGAGGGGGCAGCCCTGGCCAGTGTGGCTAAGTGGATAGAGCGTTGGCCTGTGGACTGAAAGTTTCGGGTTTGATTCCGGTCAAGGGCACATGCCCAGCTTATGGGCTCAATCCCCAGTGTGGGGCGTGCAGGAGGCAGCTGGTTCATGATTCTCTCTCATCATTGATGTTTCTATCTCCCGCTCCCTTCCTCTCTGAAGTCAATAAAAATATATTTTAAAAAATTAACAGGAGGGGTGAACCTCACAGCAGGTACAAATGGAGGGGCAGGCCCAGGATCAGCCTCCACACAGAAGCTGAAACCAGCAAGTGTTTACCAGTCCTGGGGGTGCACTGTTGCCAAAACACAGGGGCGCTAAGGAAGCGGAGGCATCTGAGAGAAGGACTCTCGGAAAGTTCTTTTACAAGTGCCAGCCCTC